GCTTGCAAAGAACCACCTATTTGAGCATGAAGGCAGCATACTGACAAGCCCTCCTAACAAGAAGGATAGGCACCCTTGATGTACTCGACTCTAACAATGCTTGCATCTATGAAACTTACAAAAAGCAGAGGATTGATACAAAGTGATAATGATCCATGGTCACTGATAAACAATAGCTGTCAATAGAATGCTGCTCTAAGTTTCAATGAAGAAGTCTGAGCACTGCAGACCAGATATGAGCCTTTTTCCTTCTCTAACATTTATTGAGTGCTTGCTGTATGCCATGTGCTGAGCAATTCTCATAGAAGCTTTCCTTCAATCCTAGCAGCGATTCTCTGCAGCAAGCCTATTGTTGGCTGTATCTTTCCTAAGGCCACAAAACCAGTAAGCAGCGGAGGCAAGATTCCTGCCAAGGCTATCTGGGTATAAAAACCCATCTACCCATGGACAGGGCACCCTCCACATACTGTTGTGCAGGTGACGCCCCAGAGAACAGCATCTGTCCAACAGAACAAGTGGGGATTCCACAGACACCAGGCCTGGGACTGAATCAGCTTGGAAGGAAGCCTTCTTCTAAATCTTCCAAAGGTGCCACGTGGCTGGGGGTAGGATAGCGGGAGCCCAGCTAACCTCTGGCCCTCTCTTCTAAAGACCATAGATCAGAAAAGAGCCCTTCAATCCCCTGATGGCAGGCTCACCTCCTGAGGGTCACAGTTGAGCCTTACAGTGAGCATACACTTGTGGAATGTTAAGTGTCAATCAAAAGCAGTCTGAAGAACCTGTTGTGTGTGTTAAATGCTATTGGAGAACAGAAGATGCACAGGACATGCCCCAAACATCAAACTGTTTACAATCAATAGGGAAACCTGTACAAGTACATAATAGTTATGCAAAGTACGATCCCAAGTGAAGAGGACCCACAAAAAGTGCAAGGTGTTCAGAGCACCCTCGGAGCTAGAAGGGATCATCATTCACTCAGCCCCAGAGGAGAAAAGAGAGGTCTTTGAGGCCAGGGGGCAGCCAGAGCCAGGCCCAAGGCAAGACGGTGCAAGCTGTGCTGGGGGACATCTCTCCCACTCACACAAACCAGCTTCTGTGTGTGGAAAGCACAAAGGTACCCTAAGCATAGTTTAAGGAAGTCAGGGCGTCAGGGCCATATGCAACCCAGTCAAAGGGGTGACATCCCCACTACAGAGAAGGGGCACAATTCAGAGCCTGCCACAGAGAAAAGTAAGGCTCTTCTCAGGTAACATAGAGTGTGCAATTGAAACCCGCCTCATGCTTGCCAGCCCGACTCCCCTAGTCATAGCCGCTCACCCTGGGCTGCCCTGTCCCCAGGCCCACCCCCCTGGCTCTGTGACTGTTTCAGAGCACAGAGAGGAGGTCTCAGGAGGCATGTGATGGTCGCACTGACTGGTGGGGCCTTCGCTCCCATCCCCTCTTGATACTCACCTGTCGCCTGGGACCTTGCTCCCTTGTTTAAAAGTGCTGGAGAAGAAAATGATCTTAGAATCCTCCTTGGCATCCCCTTGCCCCTCACCATAATCTTCCCCTTTCTGCCCCTTCCCCAGTGCCATTATTCCCCCAGCGCGCGCGTGCACGTTCCCTCTCACTCTCACCTCCCTTCCCTCCCCCACCCCTTCCCCTCCATTTGTTTCAATGAACAGCCCCTTTTATCTATTCTGTAGGTACAAATGAAGCTGTCAAATTTGATCAGGCGCTTGATATGACAGGCTGTGGGAGTCAGGACCCCTTGAACAGAGTGGGCCTTGTCTGTCACAGTCCGCCTGACACTTCCCATAATGCCCAGACTGATGAGATTCTGAGTAGGGCCCAGCACATTTTCAACTCTATTTTGGGTGAAAACCCTTCTTGAAAGATCTTGAAAGGAGCTGGCAGTTCAGCCGCCCGGATGATTAATGAGGGTTGGCTCTGTGGGATGGATTTCTCCTGGTGCCAACAGCCGGCCTCCAAACAGGCTAGAACGTGTTGCCGTGGACTTCCCCCGGTGCTTCCCCTCATGGTGACACCCCCAGAAAAACCTTTCCCATTCCCCAGGCCACCCCTCACCTCCACCACAGCCCCTTCCGCTGCGCTTCTCCCCTGGCCCTGTCTCGTGTTTCTGAAGCAGGAGCAGCCTCTGCATATGGAAAAAGGTATCACAGCTGAGTGAGGCCTGGCTGAGTGAGCAGAGCCTGCCAGAGATCTGTGCAGAAAGGGGGGCACTAAGGGAGGGCTGAGAAGGAACAGAAGGGGATGGTGACTCAGGCTGTCCTTTAGCATCCTATGCCCTGATGGTCAGGGATGGGTGTCTCTGCTTCCTCTCCATGTAACTCAGGAGCTCTAGGGACAGAAACCACTGAGTGTCTAAGGCCTCAGAGAGATACAGCATCAAAGTCCCTGTTTTTCACTGATCCCACAGTATTTCTCAAAGGAGACACTGTTGACATTGGGGCAAGACAGTTCTTGATTGGGCAGGACCATTCTGTGCAGGATAGAGGGTGAGCATCCTTAGCCTCAAGACACCAATTGCTTGTAACACCTCTCAACCATGAGGACCATCAAAATAATCCAGATGCCCTTGGTGGTGGTACCAACCTGGGTTGAGAGCCACTATTAGGGCGAAGAGCCTCCCTTACCCCTGCATGCCTCGAGAGCTATGCCCACTGCTGTGTCTCTTCCACTCTCACTTACACCCTTCAAGCCCACTCAGCAGGGAGAGCACTCTTTTTTTCTTTGAGACAGAGACTAGCTCTGTCACCCAGGCTGGAGTGCAGTGGCCCAATCTCAGCTCACTGTAGCCTCTGCCTCCCAGGTTCAAGCGATTCTTCTGACACAGCCTCCCAAGTAGCTGGTCCCCATCACCATGCCCAGTTAATTTTTGTATTTTTAGTAGAGACAGGGTTTTACTCTGTTGTTCAGGCTTGTCTTGAACTCAAGTGATCTGCCCACCTCTAGCTCCCAAAGTGCTGGGATGACAGGTGTGAGCCACCATGCCCAGCTCTCCCATGAACCCTTAATTCTAACTTTCCTTCTTTGCTGGTGCCTTAAACCACCCCCGCTCTAGACTCTGTTCCCGCACCCTCTTCTGCTTCCCTGGTTTCCCAGCAGACAGTGGCTCATTTATGCTTAGGGAAAAGAATGGTGCCCACAAATTCTTTGGGGTTTTAAGCTCAGAATCCTTTGTGAACACATGGATAGAGGGCAACTGGGACTCAGAACTTGCTATTTCTTTTTGGAACATCCATAGATTCATAGAGGGGTGAGAAAGAAAAAAGAAAGAAAGAAAGCCAGCCAGTTGCAATGGTTCACACATATAATCCCAGCAATTTGGGAGGCCAAGGAGGAAGGATTGTTTGAGGCCAGGAGTTTGAGGCCAGCCTGGACAATATAGCAACATCCTATCTCTTAAAAAATTATTTTTTTATCTGAGTGTGGTAGCATGCACCTGTCGTCGTAGCTACTCCAGAGGCTGACACAGGAGGATCACTTGAGCCCAGGCCATCAAGGCTGCAGTGGGCTATGATTGCACCACTGTACTATAGCCTGGGTGACAGAGCAAGACCTTGTCCCAATTTTTAAAAAAAGGAAGGAAGGAAGGAAGAAGAGAGAGAAGAAGAGGCAGAGAAAGGGAGAAATCCTATAGTTTCCCTACCCCAAGCCACTGTCTAGATGCCCAGCTAGCTCTGAGACCATCCAGCCCACAGATGGACCCAAGACCATCCATTCATTCATTCAGCACCATTTACTGAGCATCTACTACATGCCAGGCACTGGGCTAGATTCTAGGGCTACAATAGTAAGAGAAAAGATATGTGGCTCCTGCCTTCATGGAGCTTACAGACTAGTAAGGAGACAAAACTAAACAAATCAATATACAATTATAAGTTGTAGTAGTGACAAAGAAAAAGTAGAAAATGTTGTGTGATGCACATAGAGAGGGTACAACGAAGGACCCTCCTGACTAAGGTCAGGAAGAGTCTCTTTAGGAAAGCAGCATTGAAGCAGAGGCCTAAGGGGTGAGTGGGGTTAGCCAAGTACAGAGAGAAGCGTGTGTCAAGCTAGTGAAAGTCACACATGAACCCCAGGCAGATCCCCCTATCATGAAGGCGATTTCCCTTTTAGCTGTGCCTTCATGAAAGGGCAAAACTCAGTAACTCAGCAAAGCCCATGAGGAACTAGAAGAGGGAAGAGCTGGGGGTGGGAAAGGAAGCTAAAGGTGGTCCAGTTTGTCAGGCATGGTGGCTCACGCCTGTAATCCCAACACTTTGGGAGACCAAGGCGGATGATCACTTGAGGTCAGGAGTTCAAGACCAGCCTAGACAACAAGGTAAAACCCCATCTCTACAAAAAATACAAAAATTAGCTAGGTGTGGTAGCACACACCTGTAGTCCCAGCAACTTAGGAGACTGAGATGGGGGAATCACTTGAACCCGGGAAGTGGAGGCTGCAGTGAGCCGAGATCACACCACTGCACTCCAGCCTGGGCGACAGAGCAAGACTCCGTCTCAAACAAACAAACAAACAAACAAAAAATGGTGGTCAAGGCATGCCATCTGAGCACCAAGGCAAGGGAGCAGAGGAACAGAGACTGAGCCTGTGCAGGATGGGATCTCTCAGCGCGTTGCAGGGCAACTCCAGAAAAGAGCCTGAACTTCTCCAACTCCTGCAGCTGTGGCATGGGCCACTGCTCATGGAGACAACAATTCAACTATTCACACAAATCAGTTTATAAAGACAAGGTTCTTGCTGGGAGTGTGAAGCTTGAGAGCAACTCAAGCCTTCTCTCTTCCAGAAAGATCAGTGTTGAATGAAATATACAAGAGCGTGTGTCTTACTTTTGGAGGCGCATAGGCCTCCAAAATGCCGAGCACTGGCTCCGCATTGTCTAACAGGGCCAAACCTTTCACCTAGCACTCTCGTCCTCCCCAGATGTCCCCAATGTACCTTTCCACTGCCCCTACCAGAACCCATCGCAGGAGCCAAGCGCACTACTCACTGTTTCCTGGACACTGAGCTCAAGCTGTGAGTTCCTCCTTCTTCCTCAGCGCCTGCTTCCACCTCACATAGTCATGGCTCTCATTTCCACGCTGAGCAGCCATGGTTTCCCCTTGCGCAGTCCTTTGCTTTGAGTGTGCCTCTTCTCTCCCTCCACTGGACCATATATTTGGTTCCTTAAAGGCAAGAAAGGCATTTTATTCCTCTCTGTGTACTCTGTGCCTGCGACAGTGCCAGTCATGTGATGGGTCACTGACAAATGCTAGCAGTGTTCCATTCATCAAAAACCACTAAAGAGCTAAAACGTGTGTCAATGTCTTTGAACTGAAGTCATCAGGTAGGAAAGGGAAGAGACCTTGGGGTAAAACTCTAAGGAGGAAAAAAAGAAACCCTAATCAGAGGCCAGGTGCGGTGGCTCACACCTGTAATCCCAGCACTTTGGGAGGCTGAGGTGGGCAGAACACCTGAGATTAGGAGGTCAAGACCAACCTGGCCAACATGGTGAAAGCCCGTCTCTACTAAAAAGACAAAAATAAGCCGAGCATGGTGGTGGGCATCTATAATCCCAGCTGCTCAGGAGGCTGAGGCAGGAGAATTGCTTGAGTCCAGGAGGCAGAGGTTGCAGGGAGGCAAGATCGTATCATTGTACTCCAGCCTGGGCAACAGGAGTGTATTGCAGAAGTCTTCCCATCAAAAGGAAAGGAAAGGAAGGGAAGAGAAGGGGAAGGGGAAGAAGGAAAGGGGAAAGGAAAAATAAACAAATTTAAAAGAAACTGCAATCAGGAAGGAAAGGGATTCTGCACGCCATGTGCCAAGGGCCTGGTGCCTGGCTGTTGCAAAAGACTTTTTTCTCCAGTGAGCATCCCCTGTCCAGAACAGGGAGGAAGGTCCTGAGGGAAGAGGACTCACACTGAGGACTCTGGCCATGGCTACAAACCCTAGAGGTGGGCAGAGAGGACCCCTTGGGGACACGGTGGTTAGTTGAACTTCATCTCTACCAACTCGCTGTGGCAGCTGAAGTGACGCCCTCAAGTTAGTCCTCAGAGTTAAGGAATGAAGTCCTGAAAAAACACCATAATATACACCGAGGAAAGGGACAGAGGGAGAAGACAGCGCTGTTAGGGCATCAGTGTCCCCTCAGCATGTTTGGAAAGAACCGGCGTCTAGAAAAATAAAGGCAGGATCTGGGAGACTGCTGAAGGGGAGAAGGAGCCAGGTCAGGCAGGCTCTGAAATGAGAACATTTTCCCAGGAAAGGCAGCCTCAGGATTGGCACCCAGGGCCTGGCAGCCAGGCAATGCACAGTGAGAGTCCAGGGCTAGGGCACTTCCCTGCCACAATGTGGGGGTCTACGGAAGATACTTATCTCCCCTGCAAAGGCAACCACCAAGAGGGCACAGGCTTTGCGTGTGCATTCACTGCTGTAGCCTCTGTGCCTAGTCTGTGCCTGGCAGGTAGTGGGCACTTAACAGATATTTCTTGAAATGCATGAATGAATGAAGCAAGGCCCTGAGAATGGGCCCCAAAGAGAAACTAGTCCTTCCTCTCGATTCTGCAGAGAGATCTGGATGACCAGCTCAAAGTCAGGCCCAAGTTGCTGGAGGCAGTACCTGAAATGAGTCCAGTGGCCCTTCTTGCAGAGAGGTCCACACCTGAGCAGCTGGGAAGGACCGCACTTTACAAACTTACCCCAGCAGCTCTTGGAACAGGACCGAGCTCCCTGCTGTCTTTCAGGATTTCTTCAGGGAGAAAAAGAATTTTCCTGGCCATCGGGCCAGAATATAAAAACAAGGCTACATAAAACAGGCCTAAGAGGGAAAGAGCAGGCCAAAAGCAATACGCTCCTCTCTCCCCCTGTTTTTTCAGGACCTCAACTTCTTTTCCCAGTGAGGAGGAGGAGAGGGGAGAAAGCCCAGTGACCCTGTGCCTCCTTGCCAGGACAGAGGCCCTTGCAGGCAGGGAGTCAAAGAAAACTTTTCTGAGACTGATTACCAAGAGGGTAACTAGGCACACAGAGCACATGTGAACAGGCTCCTCGTTTCCAATTCAGGACTGTCAGATGGTGATTAATGACTAACAGCCACAGAGCAGCCTTGATTGCCAACTGCTGTATTGTTAATCCTGACATTTAATGAGGCCGGACACAACTCCAGCACAATTCCACACCATCATCTGCAAATAGCACTCGACGGACTTAATTGGTTAAGTATTTGTGTGTGTGTGTGTGTGTGTATGTGTGTGTGTGTGTGTGAGAGAGAGAGAGAGAGAGAGAGAGAGAGAGAGAGAGAGAGAGAGAGAGAGAAAACAGAAAGATATAAGGAGCAAAAGAAAGGGCTGAGATCCCTGTAATTGTGCCCTTCGTGGCCATCTATATTTTAATGCTTGTGACTGTTATCGCATGAGTCAGCTGTGATATAACCTTGGTCCCCAAGAGAAACATCCCTAATAGGGTGAAACCTCCCCCCACCACCCTCCCCACCCCGCTCCATCTGACCTCTGCCATGGTGTCCTTCCCACCACCATCACCGCCGCTGTCTCTGAGGGGCAGCTGGAAACTGGCATGTTTGTGAAGTTAAAACACATGAAAGGAAGTTGAAAGAAGAAGTTGTCTCGAAGTGGGCCAGCATCCAGAGCTCCTGAGAAGCCACTTTTTCACTGGACTCTGATCAATGGGGCCTTGGCCTGCCTGGCTGGGTGGTTCCTCCTCTGCCAAGACAGAAGTATGTTTCCCCCATTCCGGAACTCAGCGCTTTCTTAGGAGATGAACATAACCACCTTATTGTTCTAAAAACAGAGTCCCAGGCAATCGGGACAGAGAGACTGGCCCAGCAGGGGCTCTCTGGGCCAACTGAGCAAGGTGACAGGGCCCAGGAAAGGAGCTGCTGGCTGCACAAGGGCAGATGAAGTCAAGGAATCGATGTTGTGGGATCCTGGCTGTCCCCAGTGTCATGGCTAGACCTTCCAAGAACAGAAGCAGGTGAAGCACATGGAGCCGACTGCTTCGCAGGGGAAGGACTGATAACAAATGGATTCAAAGCAGCATAGACCTGGGACGTTGAAGGGCCGAGTGAGCAGAGCAGACCGTGAGTGCTGCAAATGCGGTCTCTCGGGGATCGACGGGGACCCAAGCACCCAGAAAAGGCGGAGAGCACACAAAGAGGTCTGAAAAATGGGACCCTCAGTAGAAAGCTCTGGGAAAACCATTATCCAGGTGAGGTTTTGGATAAAGTCATTCCCACAATTTCCCCTCTGAAAGGCTCATTCCTCTAAGTATGGCCTTCAAACCAGTAGTGTCACCATTGCCTGGAAGCCCTTAAGAAACACAGACTTAGTAGAACTGTGGTCACTAGAGGCAGGAGAGGGCAGGGGTTGGACAGGGAGAGGTTGGCTAACAGATACAAAGTTACAGCTACGTAGGAGCTAGCAGGAATAAGTCCTAGTGTTGTATGGCACTGTACCAAGATGACCATTAACAAGAATGTATTGTATCTTTTCAAATAGCTAAAAGAGAGGATTTGCAATGCTCCCAACATAAAGACATGATAAATGTTTGAGGTGATGGATATGCAGATTACCCTGATTTGATCATGACACATTGCATACAGGCATCAAAATATCACATGGACCCCATAAATATGTACAATTATTATGTGTCAATTAAAAAATAAAACTTTTTTTTGAGCAGAGTCTCACTTTGTCACCCAGGCTACAGTGCAGTGGCCCAATCTTGGCTCACTGCAGCTTCCACCTCCTAGGTTCAAGCGATTCTCGTGCCTCAGCCTCCCGAGTAGCAGGGACTACAGGCATGCACCACCAAGCCCAGCTAATTTCTGTATTTCTAGTAAAGACAGGGTTTCACCATGTTGGCCAGACTGGTCTTGAACTCCTGGCTTCAAGTGATCTTCCCTTGTAAGCCACCAAAAGTACTGGGATTACAGGTGTGAGCCACGGCACCTGGCCAAAAAATAAAACTTTTTAAAATGAAATGTAGACTTATAGACCCCATCCTGATCCATTACTCTAAATCTGCATTTAGAGAAATCCCCTGAGTAAAGTTTAAGTGTGAGAAGTGCTACTCTAACCGCCATGGGCAAGAAGCCACACACAAGCCAGGCCTGGCCCAATCACCTGGTGTGTGGTAGCCCCAACATTTGTCTACTTTGCTACTACAAGAAACACAGCCAGGTGTGATGGTTCATGCCTATAATCCCAGTGCTTTGGGAGGCCTGGGGAGGAAGGATTGCTTGAGGCCAGGAGATCAAGGCCAGTGTGGACAACATCACAAGACCTGATCTCTATTTAAAAAAAAAATTAGCCAGATACAGTGACACACACCTGAAGTCCCAGCTGCTCCGGAGCCTGAGGTGGGAGGATCCCCTGAGCCCAGGAGGTCGAGGCTGCAATGAGCCGTGATTGCACCACTGCACTCCAGCCTGGTAGACAAAGTGAGACCCTGTCTCAAAAAAAAAAAAAAAAAAAAAAAGAATAGAGTATAATATATACATATACAAATAAAACACTATATATATAATGTCCTGCTTTTTTTGCTAACCATTATGTTTTAAGCATTTTTTTCATACAGCCTCAGCATTTTGATGACTGCATGATACTGTTAGGCTATTTCTAATTCTTCTCTATTTTAAATATACATATAATGACATTTTAAAAGATCATTGTGTAGGCCAGGCGTGGTGACTCACTCCTGTAACCCCAGCAGGCAGGCAGATCACCTGAGGTTGGGAGTTTGATACCAACCTGACCAACGTGATGAAACCCCATCTCTACTAAAAATACAAAATTAGCTGGGAATGGTGGCGCATGCCTGTAATCCCAGATATTCAGGAGGCTGAGGCAGGAGAATTGCTAGAACCCAGGAGGTAGAGGTTGCAGTGAGCCTAGATCAGGCCAATGCACTCCAGCCTGGGGGACAGAGGAAGACTCCGTCTCAAAAAAAAAAAAAAAAAAAAAAAAAAAAAAAGGCTAATGTTCACCCAGTGCGGTGGCTCATGCCTGTAATCCCAGCAATTTGGGAGGCCGAGATGGGTGAATCACAAGGTCAAGAGATTGAGACCATGCTGCCCAACATGGTGAAACCCCATCTCTATTAAAAACATAAAATACTAGCCAGGCATGGTGGCAGGCACGTATAGTCCCAGCTACTCAGGAGGCTGAGGCAGGAGAATCACTTGAATGAATCACTGTGGAAGGTTGCAGTGAGCCGAGATCGTGCCACTGCACTCCAGCCTATTGACAGAGCAAGACTCCCAAAAAAAAAAGGCTAATGTTTCCCCTTGTGACTCTGGGCCTCAGGATGTCCCTGCATTGACCCCACCCCCCAAATTCTCATCCTGAACCATCACCTCATCCCACCTGGCCTCACAATGGCTTCATTAAATACTCCTTCAGCCTCAATCCTATAGCCCTCACCATTCCGAAAATGTGGGAAAGAATGTGGAATGGAACCAAGGGCCCCGGGTTCCCATTCCAGCTCCTCTGCTTCCTGTGTGACCATAACAAAGCACTTCCCATATCAGTGCCTCAGTTTCTTCCATATAGAATCAAGGGATTGGATGAAATGGATAATGTCTGAGGTCCTTTGCAGCTGTGACTCTCAGTGACTTTATTTCAGAGAATTGTCATTAGGCCTAAATGAAATGAGATCACGGATGTTGTAAAACATTGAAAAGGTTTAAAACTACACACATATATGACACACATAGGAATAAGGCATCTCCTTTTCTTTTTTAGTTTTGTTTATTTTTTTGAGACAGTCTTGCTCTGTCACCCAGGTTGGAGTGCTGTGGTGCAATCACAGCTCACTGCAGCCTCAGCCTCCTGGCTCAAGCGATTCTCCCGCTTCAGTCTCCTGAGTAGATGGGACTACAGGCATGTGCCACCATGCCCAGCTAATTTTTTGGAATTTTTGGAGAAATTGGGTTATGCCATGTTGCCCAAGCTGGTCTCAAACTCCTGGCCTCAAGCAGTCCTCCTGCCTTGGCCTCCCAAAGTGCTGGGATCACAGGCATGAGCCACCACACCTGGCCAAGAATCTCCTTTTCTCTAATTTCTAGTGTTGTTTTGTTTTCATGGTTCTTTTTCTGCCAGATTGGGAGCAACATGAGGGCAAAATGGAGTTTTCTTTTTTTTTTTTGAAACAGCATCTCACTCTGTCACCCAGGCTGGAGTGCAGTGGGGCCATCTCAGCTCTCTGTAAACTCCTTCTCCCGGGTTCAAGTGATTCTCGTGCCTCAGCCTCTCAAGTAGCTGGGATTACAGGCATGCGCCACCATGCCTGGCTAATTTTTGTATTTTTAGTAGAGACAGGGTTTCACTATGTTGGCCAGGCTGGTCTCGAACTCCTGACATCAGGTGATCCACCCACCTTGGCCTCCCAAAGTACTGGGATTACAGGCGTGAGCCACCATGCCTGGCCTCTATTTTTTTTTATCCCCCCTCAATAACTAACACCCACAGAAGCTGCTCAGTAATCTTGTTGACTTGGGGACCAACTCATAACCCCCTGGTTGCTCATTCATTTAAATGGACTTGTAAGAAGCTTAACAGAAAAGTGGTTACCTTTGCTTCTTAGGAGGGGAAGGGAAGAACCTATTTTAAATATATGTCTTACTTCTCTCGAGGAAAAAAAATAGTTTGGCCCCTCAAAATTAGTTCGATTTGGAAATTCAAATGGAATTTTTAATACCGCCTTATAAATTAACACATACCAACATGCCCAAGGCTTAATTCCATTCCCCAGGCTCTTCTTAAGTAGTGTGCTGAATGCCAACCGTCCACTCTATAATAAGAGAACACAGAAGAGATACTATAAAGTATGAAAATTGTTAAAGCAAACATAGCAGGACTTAGACATCAAAATAAATATTGCCCATTCAAAATGTCCCTCTGGAAGGATATACACTCATTCTAATATGTTGCCTTGCTCAAAACTCGTGGGAATGTTTTGAAAGCCATCTTCAAACCATCAGATTTTTAATTGACAATTACAAATCTTTATGTGGTGATTAGCAGGGGAAATATCTCTTGAAGACAACCCTGGTGAACAAGCTGGATGATCAGGCTTATTCAGTCAGGTCAAAACTCTAAATAACATGTCTTATAATGAAGCTCTTAATGAGCACATGAGAATCTTGTGTAGCCTTCCAACATGAATAGGCTGAAGGTCTTCTTTCTCTGAGTTGCATAGGTTCAGCCGTGTCTGTAAAAATCAGTCTCATGACAGATCTTCTACCCTGGTCCCACTCTCCACCTCCCAACCCCCATCACCTATTCTCAACACTGCAGCCAAGAGATCTTTTAGAAACAGAAGTCAGATTATGTCACTCATTGGTTTGAAAGCCTGTGAGGGCTCCCTACTCTCTTGGAGGAGTGGCCAAAGTTCAGAGCATGGCTTGTAAGACCTAGCTCCCTGAGCCCTCTCCAATCTCCTCCCACCCCACCGTCTCCTTCAGTGGCTCTGGCTCCAGCCACATGGCCTCCCTGCCATCCCTCAAACACACTAGGATGTTCCTGTGTAGGCCATTCTCTCACTGTACTCTGTTTGGAAACATCTCCCAGAAATCCACCAGGCCAGCTTCTTCATTCCCTTTACATCTTTGGTAAATTATCACCTTCTCCATGAGACATACTGTGATTTTTCTATTTAATAACTCTGTTAGCAGTGCCTTCTTTTTATAACATCTTCTGCTTAATACCTTCATTTGATAATTTCCATTTAATAACACACAGACACGCATATACACACTCACTCCTTAGCCCAGGACCCTGGCCTTCTTTCCATTTCTTCCCTGGTACTTACTACCTTCCACCATACTATCCAATTTATCTAATATTATTTATAGTATTTCTTTTTGTCTGTATGCTCCTGTGAGAACTAAGGCTGGGAAGGCCAGTATCTTTGTCTGTTTAATTGAATCTCAAAAGCCTAGAACAGGTGCAAAGCTGGTACTCAATAAAAACATGTTGAATTGAATTGGATTGGATTGCATTGAATCGAATTAACTTGAATTGCATTGCATCGTGTTGCATAAGTCCCAACTTATATAAAGTATACTCCCTGCCTTCCAGTTGCTTGTATATCTGATTGAGAGAACTAGAGACATATACATGAAAGTGACTGGGCAGTACACAGCAGTCCGGGACTAAGTGGAACTCACAGTGATGCTGCAGGAACAAATGACTGCTGGCCGGAGGAGGAGAAAGGACCTGAGCTGAGCCTACCATCCAGTGAAGCAAACCCTCTCCTTGTCCCCAGCACAGGCCCTGTCATTCGAGTCTCTACTCATCTGCTCACACTGGCCCTCTGCCTGAAGTCCCTCACCTTTCCTGCCCACTTACCTAAATGCTCCCCACCCACCAATGCTCAGTCCAAGTCCTCTTCCTCCTCACCAATTTCCCTGATAACTCTAGCCCTCCTCTGAGCCCCGGTAGCTCCTATGTTTTGTTTCAGATCATTTGGGCTTTACATAGAACTGTTCTGTGTGCGTGCATGTCATTTCCCCAGCTAAGAACCACAGCTTTTGCTTCTCCCTTCTTAATAGTGCCAACACCAGGGGCAGTTGATCACGCCTGTAATCCCAGCACTTTGAAAGGCCCTGGTGGGTGTACCCCTTGAGGCCAGGAGTTCCAGACCAACCTGGCTAACATAGTGAAACCCTATCGCTACTAAAAAATACAAAATTAGCCAGGCATGGTGGATCACACCTGTAGTCCCAGCTACTCGGGAGGCTGAGGCACAAGAAATGCTTGAACCTGGGAGGTGAAGGTTGCAGTAAGCTGAGATTGTGCCATTGCACTCCAGCCTGGGTGGCAGAGGCAAGACTCTGTATCAAAAAAAAAAAAAAGGATAAAGGGGTATATGAGAAATTGGGAAGCCAGCCTAAAATGCTATAGTTGTGACAATCCCTCCTTTCCATTTTGTTCTTATGAGTTTGTCATGGGAATTTGTCTTTTTCAGGGTAGCCTGGACAGATCAACCATGGACAGATGTGTCCATCTTCTGCCTGAAACTATAATGAGTAGCAAGAGGTCAGAGAAGCTATGGAGAGAGCAGATGGCACCAACAAACGTGGCCGAGGCCAAGGGTCTTCTGCACCGATGAAACACAGAAACGTTTGGGAAAACTAGAGGACTAATTTAGACCCCTTGACAATTTTTGTTGCAACTTCTCCCCTTCCTTGGTTGTTAGCACCCACGTTACTCTCTCATGCCTGCGCAGCAGAAGAGCCGAAAAGTGTGTATGTAAATTATCTTGACGTTACTCTTTCAGGAATTCCTGGCTAATTCCTTATACCCCTCCTCCCTCCACATCCTAGGAAACTGAGCAGAAGTTGGATCTTCTCTCTTAAATGTAACCTGGCTCACGTGCACTGAAGAACATGCAAGAAACTTGAGAAACAGAATTAGCTGGGCATGGTGGTGGGTGCCTATAATCCCAGCTACTTGGGAGGCTGAGGCAGGAGAACCACTTGAACCCAGGAGGCAGAGGTTGCCCTGAGCTGAGATCATGCCGCTGCACTCCAGCCTGGGTGACAGAGTGAGACTCCATCTTAAAAAAAAAGGAAAAGAAACTCGAGTAACAGGAGTCTCCATCCTAGTGCGGTCTATAACTGTCCTCTGCCCCTTCACTCTTCTCCTCCCTCCTTTATGTAGAAAACTTAGAGAGACAGACCAAGAAACTAAGCAGCACTTCCCATCGGTCGATTTCAGAGGCACTGTGCAGACCAGGCCTCTCCTCCCACTGCCCTGACTCCACTCTCACACATGAAATATCAATATCACTATTACCAAACATCACCGTTCCTCCACTGTCAAAGCTAAAGCTGAGGCTGAAAAGCCAAGTCCCTCCGAGAAAGGAAACGGGGCTTAACTTCAGAGTGAGACGGAAAAAACTGAGATGAAAACTTTTCCTACGAGCAGTATCTGCTTATTTGGGAATGGTGGGTGGGGGTTGGGAAGGGCAGGGAAAAGGAGCATAAAGGAAAATATGTTGGCACCTAGTGGCTGAAGGAGGGAGAGAAGGGTGTGCCAGGGAACGAGGGGGCGGGTGTGGAAAGATGAGGCCTGGGCACTGACGACAGCCTTCCCTGATTCCAGGAGCTTGCCAAGACCCAGCCCTGGATCCCAGAGGGGTCACAGCCAAGGTCCCCCCTCTGGAAGCCACTACCTTTCATTTTCTTGCTCCCCAGTCTCTGTGCCCAGAAGTGCTGTCTGCCAGGCTCTGGCCAACTTGTAGCCTCTCCATGCCGAAAATGACCCCCTAAAAAGCCGAAGGAGAAGGACCCAGCACACAGCCGCGAACCACATATACACCAAGAGGTAACTCTAAACTCCAGAGCTGGGCCCAGGAGGAGGGGAAGGGTGGAGGGGGGATGAGGTTTTTCCACTTCCATTCGCAACTGTCAGGCGGGTGATTAATGACCAACAGGTTTGGAATCGCCTCTATTGCCAGATCAGTATTGTTGCCCGTGACAGCTAATGAGGTTGGACAGGCTTCTCCACACTGAGCTTTACGGCCTGCTCCCTCCCCTGCAGAGCTCACAAGCCCTGCCAGCTTTTGTGCACTGGAATGTTCAAGCCCCACCCCCCTTCATTCCTCCAACACCACCTCCCCCCAACTCCCTGAACCACCATCTCACCCCAGATTCTTGCCCATCCACCCAGGAAGCTGCGTAGTGAGGCTTCAAGCCCCATCCTGCTCAGAGATACCCATCTGTTATACCCACACCCGCAAAAGCCCCCTTCCCATTCCCACTGGAGCTTGAGCAGTGGGACTGGAAGGAAGGAAAAAGAACGAAAGCGCACATTATAGCCCTTGGGTTTAAGACGACAGAAGGAGCTCTGAACACTTCCTTTGGACTGTCTGGCCAGCAAGTTTAACACGGCCATTCCTCAGCCAGCTGTAAAACTCAAGAAGCATTTCACACACTCATGGCTTCAATCTGGCCGATGTGCTAAGCGGTGAGGATGGAGGAGTGAGAGAACCTGGGAAAGGTGGTTTAATAACAGTTAATAATGATTTTTAACCAGTCACCTTACACTTAGATACACAAAGCCAGGTGTTAGTGAAGAACTCAACCTGGTCCTAGGTCTAAGCGTAAGGAAATACCAGCTTTGTTTTCTGCTCTCTTCAAATGATATTTACCTTTGTGCTAGTTCACATCTTGATACAGTTAAGCACGTGTTTGCTTGTGGTTTAATATTTGAAGGAGTTGGAACAACGTAAAAGTAAACAGCATAAAAAGCCCAGAAAGACCCCCTCAGCTTAAAAATCTATTACTTTTCAGTGTGATATAAATGTATTTTGCTTCTGCTCAGAGCAATTTCCTAGTTTACTCTTATTAAACCAGGAGACGGCTTAGCAGAGTTCTTGATTTATGAAACACATACTAGATTCATTAAAACCTTAAAAGATTTAATACATTTTATCAGGACATTAAATCTGTGCAGGCTTTTTAAATCGAATACCTGCCATATTTCATCCCCCACACCCTGCACACTTACTTAAGAACACTTATATGTGGACTGACAAACATTATGGGTGTTTTGGGCCTGATTTCTAAGTAGCAGTAAAGTCCTCCCCTCCAAGATTTATAGCCTGGCTTCTCCCCAAGTCTGGTCTTCCAAATAACAAGTGACTCTCTTCTTTAGAATTTGGTTCAGTAGGATGAGCTGAGATCTACATTTTACACACATGCATGCAAACATGTGCGCGCACACACGCGCGCGCGCACACACACACACACACACACACACACAAATTTCTTCCTCTCCCATTCCATAGCCAAGGTTCCTATTCTCACGGATTCTCTAGGACCCCACCCTTCAACACCACCCGCTCATCTTCCATCTTCTTCCAGAACTCCTACTGGCTTCCGATTCCATGCAGACGCACTCCTAACATCTCCTTCTCTCCCTCCCATACTCCCCCAACTCAGCCCATACAGAACTGCATCCATGCAACACCTTCTATGCTTTGGGAGGCAAAGCTTGCCCTCTTGTTCTTCATCCTGTTTTGTTTTTTTTGTTTCGTTTTGTTTTGTTTTGAGACTGAGCCTTGCTCTGTCACCAGGCTGAAGTGCAGTGGTACGATCTCAGCTCACCGCAACCTCTGCCTCCCAGGTTCAAGCAATTCTCCTGCCTCAGCCTCCCAAGTAGCTGAGACTAGAGGAGTGCGCCACCATGTCCAGCTAATTTTTGTATTTTTAGTAGAGATGGGGTTTCCTCATGTTGGTCAGGATAGTCTTGATCTCTTAACCTCATGATCTGCCCACCTCGGCCTCCAATTCCCTCCTTTTTAAGTCTATCCACACCACAGTGGTTCTCAGCTGGGGGCAAATTTGTCTCACGCACATACAACCGGGGACATATGGCAATGTCTGAAGACATATTTGGTTTCACAATGAGGTGGGGGTGTTGCTACCAGCATCTAGGGATAGAGGCCAGAGAATCTGCTAAACAACCTACAATGCACAAGCCAGCCCCTCTACCCCACATCATGGAAAAAAGAGAGGAAGAGAAAGAGAAAAAGAATGAAAAAAAAAGAAGGAAGGGCCAGGCATGGTGGCTTACGCCTGTGACTCCAGCAATTTTGAAGGCCAAGCCAGGAGGAATGCTCGAGACCAGGAGTGTGAGACCTGCCTTGGGCAACACAGTGAGACCTCATCTCTACAAAAATAAACCAGGCATGGTGTCATGCACCTGTAGCCTAGCTACTCAGGAGGCTGAGACAGGAGGATCACTTGAGCGCAGGAGTTTGAGGCTACAGTGAGCTATGCTTGTGCCACTGCACACCAGACTGAGTGAAAGTGAGACCCTGTCTCACAACTAAGTAAATAAAATAAAGGGAAGGGAGGAAGGGAAGGAGGGAGGGAGGGAGGGAGGGAGGGAGGGAAGGGAGGGAAGGGAGGAAGGAAGGGAGAGACTAAGTGTCTAGAACCTTACCAGGCATAAGTGGTCTCCTCCACTCTCCTTCATTGCTTTCATACTTAGGATTGTGGCTCATAGATAGTAGTTGTTTCAATGTATGTTTATAGAGTCAAAAATATCTTTGTCCTGATGCCTTGACATTTTCCAAATTCACAAATGTAAGGGGAAGAAATATTGGATTTCCAATCAGTTGATCTGCCTGTGACCTTGAGGAATTGCTGAAGCCCTCTTCCCTGTGTGTCCTTATCTGTGAAGTGGGCTTGTGGTGATATTACCCTCATGTATTCCTATGAGCATCCAATGACCTGGTGTAACTGACAGTGTGTTTACATTTTGACAGGTCACAGGATGTTTATTATTTTAGTTGAAAAACACTTACTGAGTGCTTATTCTGTGCCAAGAATTATGTTAGACCCTTGGGGGGTGGGATGAATACAAAGATGAATAGATGAAGCTCCTGCCCTCATGGATCTTATAGTCTTTCGAGAAGCACAGACAAGAACTAGAATGTTTCAGTGTATTATAATGAGTGCCGTATGACAAGAATGCACAGGATATTGTGGACACACAGAAGGGTCTTGAAAGATGAATAAGGCCGGGCACAGTGGCTCAGGTCTGTAATCCCAGCACTTTGGGAAGCCTAGGGAGTTGGATCACTTAAGGTCAGGAGTTCAAGACCAGCCTGGTCAACATGGTAAAACCCCATCTCTACTCAAAATACAAAAATTAAGCAGGCATGGTAGCATGTGCCTGTAATCCCAGCCACCTGGGGGGGTTGCGGCAGGAGAATCTCTTGAACCCAGGAGGTGGAGGTTGCAATGAGCTGAGACTGTGCTATTACATTCCAGCCTGGCCTGTGACAGAGGAAAAAAAAAAAAGAAAAGATGAATAAGAGCTGGTCTAGCAAAATACAAAAAAACTACAGAATAAGATCTAAAAGCTTCAGGTATAGGTAGGTAGGGGATCACATCATTAAAGATCTTATATGAAAAGTTAAGAGGATTTGAATTTTTTTCAGTAGGAAACCTATTATGCTGTTTTTAAGCAGAAAAGGTATACATCAAAGAACACGTGGGGTACACTGTGGCCAACACAGTAATTTAAGGGTGAATGGCAAGGTTGGGGCGAAGAGATGGCTAACATTAGGTTATTACCATAATCCAGGTGATAAAGCCCTGAGCTGCCTGGAGAGGGAAGTACGGGGTCAAGGAATAATTAGGATGGATGGGGCAGATAAAAGTCAGTGGCTGAGTGTCTACCCTGGATGGTCGAGTGAATAGTGACAACTTTAGTGGGAGGAGGATGTTTGAAGGGAACCATGAGTTCCATTTTAGAGATGATCTATTTCTCCCTGTCCAAAATCCAAAGAAATGGTATTCTAGTGTGTAGCTCGTGGTTATTAATATGCATTTAGGAGCGTCACCAGCGACCCTATAATTAGAATATGGAGAACACAAGAGGCCTTCCAGACAGAGAAGACAGAGAAAGAAGAGCAGTAGGGGGCCGGGCGCGGTGGCTCAAGCCTGTAATCCCAGCACTTTGGGAGGCCGAGGCGGGTGGATCATGAGGTCAAGAGATCGAGACCATCCCGGTCAACATGGTGAAACCCCGTCTCTACTAAAAATACAAAAAATTAGCTGGGCATGGTGGCGCGTGCCTGTAATCCCAGCTACTCAGGAGGCTGAGGCAGGAGAATTGCCTGAACCCAGGAGGCAGAGGTTGCAGTGAGCCGAGATTGCACCATTGCACTCCAGCCTGGGTAACAAGAGCAAAACTCCATCTCAAAAAAAAAAAAAAAGAAGAAGAAGAGCAGTAGGGGCCAGGCACGGTGGCTCGCACCTGTAATCCCAATACTTTGGGAAACCAAGGCGAGTGGATCACTTGAGGTCAGGCGTTAAAGACCAGCCTGGTCAACATGGCAAAACCCCATCTCTACTAAAAATACAAAAGTTAGCCAGGTATGGTGGTGGGCACCTGTAATCCCAGCTACTCAGAAGGCCGAAGCCAAAGAATCGCTTGAACCCAAGAGGTGGAGACTGCAGTGAGCCGAGATCACACCATTGCACTCCAGCCTGGGCGACAAGAGCAAAATTCCATCTCAAAAAAATAAAAGAAAAGAAAAAGCAAAGAAGAGCAGTAGGTCAAAAAGAGTTCTGAGGAATAGTTGAGGATGAGCCCATGGTAGAGATTAAAAATAGGAACATTTGGACAAGTAGACAGAAACCCAGCAGGGAGAGAGTAATTCACAGAGGCCAAGGAATGAGGAGTCTAAGCTTTCAGGGGGCCAATCAACAGCACCACGTGCATCAGAGAAAGGAACTGAAGGGTTAAGAACAAGGGAATGGAAAGTGAGGAAGTAATGACATCAAGTGTAGGCTACTTTTTCAATAAACTTTGCTCAAAGGGAAGGAGACAAATCAGGTAAGAACTAGAGGCTTACACATGATCAACGGAGAGGCTTAGAGGGAAGGGCGTGGAGAAATTGCACAAGATTATAGGCTGTGGCTAAAGAACTGGTAGAAAGGAGATAATTAAAGGCTCTAGGTCTCTGAGGAGAGAGGAGGATGAGATTAAGAAACCAGGTGAAGAAAGATTGGCCTAGAATAAACCTGGGCTACCTTAGCCTCTGAGACTCACATCCCAGTATATAAGGTACCTCTTATGTACAACAAAAAAGAAGTCTATCAATGACATAGATGTAGATAAATATATGTACGTAAAATTTCATACAATCATTTTTTTTAAACTCCTAATGTTACTATAAATTCAGAGTGGGAGGGTTAAAGGAAAGATCATCCCAGGCAAACGAGGCCAAGCCAAAATGCAACTGCCAGCCTTGTTGGAACACAATCTCAGGGTCACAGGCTCCTCTTCATCACCCCCAAACACAGTAGGGATCTTAGCCAAGCCCCCTTTCTGGAGACTTCTTCTCCTTGGACTTCTCTACAAGTAAAAGAAATGGGTTGGCTCAAAATCATAGGCAATAACCTATCTGTCCATCAAGAGATGAGTGGATAAACAACTGTATATCTATACAATGAAACACGACCCAGCAATAAAAAGGAATGAACTCTTTTTTGTTGTTGTTGAGACGGAGTTTCGCTTTTGTTACCCAGGCTGGAGTGCGACGGCACGATCTCGGCTCGCCGCAACCTCCACCTCCTGGGTTCAGGCAATTCTCCTGCCTCAGCCTCCTGAGTAGCTGGGATTACAGGCACGCGCCATCATGCCCAGCTAATTTTTTGTAGTTTTAGTAGAGATGGGGTTTCACCATGTTGACCAGGATGGTCTCCATCTCTTGACCTCGTGATCCACCCGCCTCAGCCTCCCAAAGTGCTGGGATTACAGGCTTGAGCCACTGTGCCCGGCCAGGAATGAACTCTTGATAGACTCAACAACATGGATGAATCTCAAAATAATTATTCTGGGTTTTCAAAAAAGCCAGACCGTCCCCTCAAAAAGAGTACATGCTATACGATTCCATTCATATAAAATTCTACAAAATACACACTAGTGGCAAAAGCAGATCGGTGGTCTTTTGAGAATCAAAAAAGGGGTGTCCCAAAGAGGGGTAGGAGGGAAAGATTGCAAAGAGGCATGGGGAAATTTGGAGGCATGATGCATGTGCTCATTATCTTGATTGTGGTAATGGTGTCACAGGTGTTTGCAAATCAAAATGTAAATTGTAGACTTTATGAACAGTTTATTACATCAGTTATATCTCAATAAAACTGTAAAAACATGTAATCACAAAATGACCTTTTGGTGCCTTCTAGCTGACTTTCAGCTCCATTTTTTTTCCTGATGGCTCTTTGATCCCTTTACGCAATTGCCTTGAAGAAACCTCATTAGCCCCAAGCAAATATGCTTTTGTTCTTGGAAGTCACCAATCCTGATTTTTGCAATTTAAAAAAAAAAAAAGAGGAAAAATTTCTGAGCCCCCTTAATAATTAGGGATACAGTTCATTCCTTTTCTCCTAAGCTCACTAAAATCTTACTGGAATCAAACATTCTAAAAGATGTTTTCTATTCTCTGTTTTAGAGCCTAAAGTAAAAAAGATAAACTTTAAATCAAGCAGAAACTTTTTCCAGCAACTTCCACTCTTGTGATACTGAACTGAACTGAAGTGACAGATTTTAAGAGTTGCCTGAATCTTCTGGAGTTAACCTGGTTATTGACTTTAAAAACTCTAATTGTGAAAGAAGGGGTCTCTTCTCTCTTTGGAATGGCGCTCAGAGGACCCAACAAACAGCAATAGAATAGAACATTACGGATTGCTGGGTGAGAGTATATTTTAACCTGCTTCAACCTAAAACTGCAAAATAAACTGGTCGAATTTAATTTTTAAAGTTTCATAATTTCTGACCACTGATCTACATTTCTGAAAGGTTACATGTAAAATAAACATGATGTGTGTGTGTGAAACTGAATCATTTTCTAACTCATTGACTGTAAAAAAAAAAAAGAGAAGAGATCATTTGAACTCTGCCTTTGCAATTTATCATCTTCGTGATCTTAGACAATCTCTTAATTTCTCTAAGCTTCAACTTTCTCCTCTAAAATCGAGTTGAACTCAAAGGGCTGACCTAAAGATTACATAAAATGAGAAAAAGTAAGGCACCGGGGCTGATACATAGACATTATTCAATAAAGCTTTATGAAATCTGTATTACAAATATCTATTGAGGTATAATTTCAGAAGCCTTTATCTCTTCTTCTGATAAGCTTTCGTTTGGTTATTATTCAATACCATACAGCTTAAAGTTTATCATTCGCTTGCCCTGTGTCACATTAATAATCTGCAATAACAACCCCCAAACACACAAGAACACATTAAGGGAATTTGCTATTACAGCTAACATTTGGTGAACACTAACATTTACCAAATGTTATGTATGCTTTTCACAACAGTCCTACGACTTCCATATTATTATGACTTCGATTTTATAGATGAAGAAACTGAGACACAGATAATTGTTCCAAGGTTACAGAACTAAGAGGCAGGGTCCAGGATTTAAACAAGACAGCCTGACTGTGGAGTATCTGAGCTAAATCACTACTCTATACTGCGAGGTTTTTTTTAAACAAAATTTTAGCCAGGCGCAGTGGTGGCTCACGCCTGTAATCCCAGCACTTTGGGAGCCCGAGCCACGTGGATCACTTGAGGTCAGGAATTCAAGATCAGCCTGACCAACATAGTAAAACCCTACCTCTACTAAAAATACAAAAATTAGCCAGTCATGATGGTATGCATCTGTAGTGCCAGCTACTCGGGAGGCTGAGGTAGGAGAATCGCCTGAACTTGGGAAGTGGAGGCTGCAGTAAGCCAAGATTGTGCCACTGCACTAAAACCTAGGTGACAGAGTGAGACAAAGAAAGAAAGGAAAGGAAATGGAAAGGGAAAGAAAAGGAAGGAAAGGAGAAAGAGAGGGAGGGAGGGAGGGAGAGGGGAGAGAGAGAGAGAAAGGAAGAAAGAAAGAAAAAAGAAGAGAAAGGGAGGGAGAGAGAAATAAAAAAGAAAGAAAGAGAGAGAGAAAGAGAGGCTGGGCATGGTGGCTCACGCCTGTAATCCCAGCATTTGGGGAGGCTGAGGCAGGCAGATCACAAGGTCAAGAGATCAAGACCATCCTGGCCAACAGGGTGAAATCCCGTCTATACTAAAAATACAAAAATTAGCTGGGCGTGTGGTAGCACATGCCTATAGTCCCAGCTACTTGGGAGACTGAGGCAAGCGAATTGCTAGAACCCAGGAGGTGGAGGTTGCAGTGAGCCAAGATCGCAGACTGCACTTGAACCTGGCGACAGAGCAAGAGTCAGTCTCAAAAAATAAAAAAAGAGAGAAAAAAGGAAGGAAGGAGAGAGGGAGAGACAGAGAGAAAGAAAGGAAGGAAGAAATTGTAAACTCTTGGGCCGGGCGCAGTGGCTCAAGTCTGTAATCCCAGCACTTTGGGAGGCCGAGGCGGGTGGATCACGAGGTCAAGAGATCGAGACCATCCTGGTCAACATGGTGAAAGCCCGTCTCTACTAAAACTACAAAAAATTAGCTGGGCATGGTGGCGCGTGCCTGTAATCCCAGCTACTCAGGAGGCTGAGGCAGGAGAATTGCCTGAACCCAGGTGGCGGAGGTTGCGGTGAGCTGAGATCGCACCATTGCACTCCAGCCTGGGTAATGAGAGCGAAACTCCATCTCAAAAAAAAAAAAAAAGAAATTGTAAACTCTCTTGTTAAATAAATCGCTGCTGGGTAACATAAAAATCACAAGTCTCTTAAGGTTTTCAGAAGTACTAGATCATCTACTGAAGTCCATCCCCCTGCCTTTAGGCAGGTCCCAGGCCTGGTAAAAAAAAAAGCCTCCTAAGAACAAAATCCCAAAACTTCTACCCAATATTCACTCTAAAGTTTACTGTGAGGAAATTATTGTGCTTTTATTATTACTAATTGACACATAATAATAGTACATACTTACGGGAAGCGGATGGAAGATGGAGTTTGCCAGAGGTTGGTTAAAGGAAATTCTTAAATTACAGGTAACTTAAATATTCAATGCTGCAAGCTAGCCCCTATTTCTTGGGTTGATGAACCCTAATATTTCCATTTTTCTTACTCACTCAACTATTAAATAAACATTTATTACGCATGCCCAGCTGAGTTATATCACTGAACCTGGAGAGAAAAAACTCAAGTTCTGAGAGAATGGCCACCTGTGTCTGTTTGGCGTGGGGGATGCAGGGACAGAGTAGGGAGAGGAAAGGCCTTCATTTATGGAGATGGGTACAGATCTCCCAGACAGCACCATGTAACCCTCTTATGGGCTTCACCATGTAATGCTGAAACATCCCAACACTCAGAGCAAACCCAGGAAAGGCAAACGGGCCAATCCCAAGCAGGCATGCCTGAAAAAACCACACTTCCCTTTTCCTGAGTCTTAAATCTGTCAAACACTACCAGCTTGCCATCTTCCCGGTGTAAAAGTTTTTCATTTACTAAAGGCTATAATTAAACGAACTCTTTCTGTCCTGCAAACAAAATATTAATACCTTCAGTGGCTGAATTAGAAATGCCCCAGTGTGATGCTGGTGAATAGGGCAGGTTGAGGACAACATGAGGCCCTTAGATTAGGAGACACAAAGTCTGGATTCCGGACCTGATCCCACGTTGCCTTCAGTCTGCATTTACTGTGCACCAAAGCCCTGCGGAGTGCGGGGAGTGGGGGCGGGGGGGTGCGGAAGGAAAATCAGTCTCTGCTCTCCGGGGAATGTACAGTTTATCCATAAAGATGATGAAATGCACAAGCCCCTGTGCACTGTGGCAGCGGTTACAAAGGCAGTAAACTCAAGATATTAAGGAAACACAAAGGAAGCTTTCCTTAGCTGTTTTTTGTTGTTGTTTGTTTTTTGTTGAGAAGGAGTTGCTCTTGTTGCCCAGGCTAGACTACAATGGCACGATCTTGGCTCACTGCAACCTCCACCTCCCGGTGCAAGCGATTCTCCTGCCTCAGCCTCCTCCTGAGTAGCTAGAACTACAGGTTCCCGCCACCACGCCCGGCTAATTTTTGTATTTTTAGTAGAAGATGGGATTTCGCCATGTTGGCCAGGCTGGTCTCGAACTCTTGACCTTAGGTGATCCTCCCACCACGGCTTCCCGAAGTGCTGAGATTATAGGCGTGAACCACCGCGCCCAGCCTCCTTGGCTGTTTTTACCCCTGAACCTCGCTGAACTTCTTAGATTCCGTTCATTAAAATTAGGATAATAATTCCTTGTTAGTATACTTTGTGGTGTTGCAGGATCACAAGGGCCAAAGCTCCCAGAAAAATATAAAGGACAATTCAAGGTAGGGATTATTAATTAGTGAGGTAATGATGCAATCCGCACATTGAAAAGATTGTTTCAGCTGTGCTATAGGAAAGAGAACAGTTGCAACTTGCTAGTACCTGATCAAGGGGGAAAAACAAAACAAAACAAAAAAAGGCCGGCGTGGCAGCTCACACCTGTAATCCCAACACACTGGGAGGCCGAGGCAGGAGGATTGCTTGAAGCCGGAGTTTGAGACCAGACTTACCGAGAGACCTTGTCTCTACTAAAAATAAAATTGTCAAGTGCCGTGGTGCACCTGTGGTCCCAGCTACTCAGGAGGCTGAGGTGGGAGGATCGCTTGACCCCAGGAGTTCGAGGCTGCAGTGCGCTATGATCGTGCGCTGCACTCCAGCCTGGGCAAAAGAGTGAGACCTTGTCGCTTAAAAAAAAAAAAAAAAAAAAAAAAAAAAAAAAACTAACCAGGTTCGGCCTTCTGCGGAGGGAAATCCGGAGCAATCCCCAAAGTCAATGACTTGAAAAGGGACGCCCTGGGTCTCAGCACTCCCGGCCAAGCGCCTCCCGCCGCTGGTTCTCGGTAAGCTCCCACCTTCCCCGCTCTCATCCCCAGCCCCAGGCCGGATACCCGAGACCGAGGTCCAGGACCGCACGGACCGAGTCGCGGGCGATCCCTGGCGGCCACCTGCGGCCACCGACCACAGGGAGCGCGAGGGGCGGGGCGCAGAGCGAGCGCGGGGCGGGGGTGTGGTCTTCTCGCGTGAACTGATGACGTCATCTAAGCGACGGTCCGGAAGGAAGTCGCGTGTTGAGGGGTGTGGCGGCTTCTACCGTTGCATTGGGGCTCGGACCAGTACGGAGCGCCTGGAGGGACAGCCCGGTACGCGGCCCCCGCCCCTTCGTACGCGCGCTGGGCCTAGCTGCTGCTCTCGGCCGGGGCTAACCCGCCACCCTCGGGAACCCCTGTCCCAGCAGCCCCTCTACCTCAGCCGGCCCGCTCCTGGAGCGAGACAGAAACCCTTTTCTGTCGCGTCCCCTCCTTGCGAGCCGCAGGGGGACCGAGCGGAGGCTCTTGGAGACGCAGCCCCAGCCCAGGGTGCTTGACTCTCTCTCGGAACGGGGCGGGGAAGGGGCACGAGTGACCTCGGGGAGGGAAGGGCACTGGCAGAAAGGACGCAACTGCACATCGGTAGCCGGAGGCCGCCACGGTAAAATAAGCGCCTCGCAGATGTCCGCGCCCGGGTCACGTTTAGACCTGGGACGCAGAATCCACGCCCTGCGCTCACGGGCCCACGCACGCACAGCTGAACTTTGCAGTCACCATAGTTCCAGATCATTAAGTGTTCAGGATCCAGCTCCTCCGCGTCCTGTGCCTGAACGCGGTCGGACCCGGGAGCCCTGAGGCTCCCAGTTTGGGACATTCCCTTTCTCTCTGACCACGAGCTTGGGGATGTGTCAGGTGCAAAGTGCCAGAATATATGGGGGGAGTGTAGCTCCAGGCTTGTTCAGAGCCCTGTCCTGTTTAGGGCTAAAGGAATAACTGGGAAGGTAGATGCGAGGCCAGCGAATCCTACCTTGGAACTCTGCTCGCCTGCCGGCTCTGGCACTCCAGCATCTGAAAGGAGTAAATAATGGTTTCCCTTGAAACTGCAGGCAATTAGGAGTGGGAGGCTCTGACCAGAATTACATAGCCACAACTGCTTGTCATTTGACATCCTCTGTAATTTGGGCCAAAGTACTGCAGCTGCCTCTCTTCCCTACTGCTAGTATGAGAGGTTCAGTGACAGCACATTCGTGTTCACAGGAAGACAAGGCTGTGTTCTGAACCCTTCCCAGCTGGCACGGGTTCTCCCTTGAGCAATGGCTGTATCCCGAGCCAGTGCTTCCTCAGTGCGGTGGGGACTCTAATTCCACAGTTAGGGAAGGGGAACGTTGACTGAGAGGGAGGAGGAAGCAAGCTGTGGATTTAGCGTTGAGTTCACACGACACCAGGCTGGATATGAGTCGCTCAAGGAGCTCAGCTTAGTGAGGTCCTCTCGCTGTTGTGGCCTTTTCTCCTGCACGTTAGACCACACACATTTTCCCGTGTCTTTTCCCTAGGATACAGGCTCACTGATGGCTCAGTTGGGAGCAGTTGTGGCCGTGGTTTCCAGTTTCTTTTGTGCATCTCTCTTCTCAGCTGTGCACAAGATAGAAGAGGGACATATTGGGGTATATTACAGGTAAGGCAGAGACAGGGAGAAGCCTGCAACTTCCTGTTAAATAGCTCCCTTTCCTGGTCACCGCTTTCCTAGCAGATTCTGCTGAACATCTGTGTTTATGTTTCCTTGAATAGGAGAGTCTTTTTAGATCGAGCTTTTTATGTCAGTGATCGTGGGAAAGCGAATATGTATATATGTAAGTTTATTACTTCCCTTAGTAGTTCAAGATGATGCCATGGGTGGTGATTAATAAACGTGTACATAGATTTAGAGACAAAACTTAAGGGAAACCGGTACTCCTCACAGATATCCCTAAAATACTGTTTTCTCCTACATCCCTCTGGCAGTCTTGGCTCCACACTGCAAAAGCCAGCTGAGTCTGAGTTCTTGATGGCAACTTGAGAAGGTAGCCTACTTTGCTGACTTGGGATACTCTTTTAAAATTAGCATTTCAGTCAGCCTGGGTAACATAGTGAGAACCTATCACTAAGAAAAAAAAAAAATTCAATTAGCTAGCTATGGTGTCACACACATGTAGTCCTAGCTACTCAGGAGGCTGAGGTGGGAGGATCACCTGAGCCCAGGAGATTGAGACCAGCCTGAGCAACATAGTGAGAGCCCATCTCTACAAAAAAATTAAAAATTAGCCTAGCACGTGCCTAGTCCCAGCTACTCGGAGGGTGAGGCAGGAGGATCACTTGAGCCCAGAAGTTTGAGGCTGCAGTGAGCTGTGATCACACCACTGCACTCCAGCCTGGGTGACAGAGCAAGACCCTACCTCTAAAACTAAATCACAATTATATTAACATTGCAGGAAAAATGAAAGAGCCTGCAGGTTGACTTATGTCAATTAAAGCAAGCCTTATGATAGTGGTTCCTACAATAAAGGAGCCCATTATGTCACTTTTTTTTAATTCTTTGCATAATATAAAACAAAGTCTTGAGTTGCTTTCTTTTTAGTAATCTCCATGACCCAATTTTTTGCTTTATGTCTTTATGAACTCTTCTTATACGTGCTGTTGTGATGCCTATTTCTGGATTGCCAACAGCCAGTTCTAAAACTCTGATTGGATTCCTTTCTCCTTTAATTCTTTGTCCCTATTATCTGCTTACATGTTCCCCAAAAAGGCTTGTAACTTTTTCATTTACATATAACTTGATTAGAAAGGTAACTCTGTTGCCAAAACATATATTTCAATTACTTATAAAGTGCTTCAAATTAATCTTTTGGTTGGTCATGTGAGTGGACTCCAGCATTAGTGCAGGTCGTTGATAACTATATTACTGGACTTAACTGCCCCAGTGGATTGCCACAAGCCCAACAGATATGACAAAGTAAAACAGACTTATCTAAATATACCCATGGATTCTGCTGTCTTTTTTTTTTGGACAAAGTCTCACTTTGTCGCCCAAGCTGGAGTGCTGTGGCACAATCATGGCTCACTGCAGCCTCAAGCTTCCAGGCTCAAGTGATTCTTCCATCTCAGCCTCCTAAGTAGCTGGGACTATAGGCATGCAGTCACCATACTCAGCTAATATTTTCCTTTTCTTTTGTAGAGACAGGGTCTCACTGTTTGAGACAGATTGGCCTCGAACTCCTGGACTCACGCAATCCTCCTACCTCAGCCGCCCAAAGCACTGGGACGGCATCCAGCGGATTCTGCTGTCATTATTCCATGTCGCCTGTGTGCCTCTTTTTCTCCTTGCAAAAGCATGAACAATGGTTTTATGTTTTACTTTCAGGTTTCCTAGAATATTAGGGTCTAGCTGAGAGGAGGAAAGGGATCTGTGGCATGGCTCCAGCACATGTCACTCTCTATTATATGTTTCTAGGGCTGAAGGGAAAGTTGACCCTTATGATTTTGATCTAACAGATCCTCTTGCCAAACTGAAGCTGCCTCTCTCTCCCCCTCCTCTGCAGAGGCGGTGCCCTGCTGACTTCGACCAGCGGCCCAGGTTTCCATCTCATGCTCCCTTTCATCACGTCATATAAGTCTGTGCAGGTATGCTTGGCCTCTGTGGTATGGTTGGACGACTAAAAATTTGGGCTGTTGACTAGTGCGTGATTTAAAATTATTTAGCCATTGGATAAGTAAAATGCCATTCCAGAGAATTATATAAGGATAATTTATATATATATATATATATATATATATATAAAGAGAGAAAGGAGAGAGAGAGAATGAGACTGGGGATTATTCCTTCAAGATAAAGCCAGAGAAGAACCTGTTCTGAGTATATGGAAGGAAAAGTCCAGTTGTATGTGTGTATGTTTTAAATCACAAGCTACCATGTTAGCTGGAAAGAAAACATGGTAATTTTGCTGATTTGTATTTGGACTTCAGAAATCTGAACATGATTTTCGCAGTGAGTGGGGAGGAGTTGAACTAAGTGAGGAGAGATGACATCTAAATAGGAGTGAGGTTAGTTGTGGCACACCTAAAGCCTGGCTGAGTTAGACTCGCCATCTCCGAAGTATGTCCAGCCAAGAAGAATGAAAAGATTTTACACTTTACACTGATCCAGGAGAATGTCTTGGGATATCTCCTAGCCATTTTCCCTGTAAGTTTCATGTGCTGATTACCAGGCTTTGTGGCTTTCAAAGTGCATTCAGGTACATTGTCTCATTTGAGTCTTGCAGTAATCCTGAGAATGGGCTGAGCAGGTCTTAGGTTCTGAGATGGGTTAAATAAGTAATCTGCTGTTTCCAAACTAGTACAGTAGTCCTCCCCCTTGTCCACTATTTCACCTTCCACAGACTCAGTTACCCACAATAAACCATGTTCTGAAAACAGGGGACTACAGTTCAATAAGATATTTTCAGAGAGAGAGAGAGACCACCTTCACGTAACTTTTATGACAGTATATTGTTATAATTGTTCTATTTTATTACTCATGCATCGCTCACTGTACCTAATTTACAAATTAAACTTTATGATAGGTATGTACATATAGGAAAAAACATGGATCTATAGGGCTTGGTACTCTTTGCAGTTTCAGGCATCCACTGGGGGTCTTGGAACATATCCCCCTAAGGATAAGGTGGTGCCTACCTTAAACAAAAGAGGTAGAAGTAAGCACAAGTCTTAAGACACCCAATCCAGTGTCGTCTTCACTAACCATTATCACTCAGCTTGTTCATGTGGTGGTTCACTTACAGTGAGGCTGGGGCAGGGGCCTTTGCTTTTATTAGCAACAATATGAGAAAGGAGGATTAGGTGGGGCAATAACGTTTAACAGAGGCAAAGCGCAACCCATACAGTTATTCCAGGACAAAGGCATTTGGAATTCTGAGAAGTAAGTTACTTTGTCACGGCCCATCTTCTAGCATTTTATGTTTCCTCTGTTTCCAGACCACACTCCAGACAGATGAGGTGAAGAATGTACCTTGTGGGACTAGGTAAGGTACCCGGAATAAAGCTGTTAAGCACAAATAAGTCAGAGAAAGGGCTATCTGGCTGGCTGCAGGAAGAGATAGTGAAAAGGGAGGCATCCTTTCTTGGTTAATTCCCTGTATTGATTTGACCAGGGGATGAAGTGCAGTAGAGGAAACCATACATGGTTCGGGAGGGGCTAGAATGCCCCACCTAATAAAGGAGTTTGCACTTACTCTATTAGACGTGAGGATCACTATTCACAGTAACAAAGACTTGGAATCAACCTGAATGCCCATCCACGATAGACAGGATAAAGAAAATGTGGTATGTATACACCATGGAGTACTATGCAGCCATACAAAGGAACGATCATGTCCTTTGCAGGGACATGGATGGAGCTGGAAGCCATTATCCTCAGCAGACTAACCCAGGAGCAGAAAACCAAACACCACATGTTCTCACTTATAAGTGAGAGCTGAATGATGAGAACACATGGTCACGTGGTAGGGAACAACACCCACCGGGGCCTGTCAGAGGGTATGGAGTCGGTATAAGAGAGAGCATCAGGAGAATAGCTAATGCATGCTGGCCTTAATACCTAGGTGATGGGATGATCTGAGCAGCAAACCACCATGGCACACGTTTACCTATGTAACAAAGCTGTACATCTTAAACATGCATGTACCTTTGAACTTACTTAAAATAAAAGTGTGAATAAAATAAAATTTTAATATTTGAAATAAAGAAGTGAGGGTGCACAAAGGTTTTTTAGCAGATAAATGGCCTGATACAAGAAGATAACTTTTGCATAACTAAGGAGAATGTCATAAAGGTAGGGGAGACCTTCAGGGCAAAGAGATCCAAAGAAAGCACTGCTATAGCAGTCCCGTTGGAAAGAAAGGAGAGTTTAAACTGGGATAGAGTAACAAAGAATACCGCAAAGAAACACTCTGACAGATCCGGAATTGGGACATTCCACAAGATAACAGGCCTGATCTCTTCACAAAGTGGTTGTATTTAGAGAGATGTGGGATAGAACGGAGACTTACAAGAGACATAAACAGTAGCAAGGGTGAGCGTTGATTAGAACCTGGTTTAAAATAGCTATGACGGGTACAACAGGAATGTGTGAGTCCACCCAGGCTGCCATGACAGAGGATCACACACCTGGAGTCTAAAACAGTAGTTATTTATTTTCTCACCATTCTAAAGGCCCGAAGTCTAAGATCACGGTGCCAGCAGGGGTAGTTTTGGTGAGACCTCTCTTCCTGGCTTATAGGTGACCACCTTTACGCATGTCCTCACATGGCCTTGCCTCTGTCCGAGAGAAAAAGGTCTTCGGTGGATACCAGACCTGTTGGATCAGGACCCACTCTTATGATCTATTTAACCTTAATTACCTTCTGGAAGGCCTAATCTCCAAATATGGGCACACTGGGGGTTAGGGCTTCAACATATGAATCTAAGGGTGAGGTGTACACAGGTCACTCCGTAACACAAACTGTTAGGGAAAATTTTGAATAAGGACTGGGTATTAGGTGATATTACAGAATTATTGCTAATTTTCTTAGGCTTGAGAATGATATCACTAGTGTATAGGAGAATGATTATCCTTAGACATTGCTCGCCAAAGTAAAAGAGTAAAGTATCCGAACTGCAGCTTACTTTGAAATGTTCAGAAAATAAATAGATAAAATGTTATCAGTGTTGAATTTAGGTGTCTGTATATGGTTATTAGTTGTACTCTTCTTTCAGCTTCTCTATATGTTTGAAATCTTTCTATAATAAATATTTGAGGGCAAGTGGAGTGCGACACTAAAGTGATAGTAAAGATAGTTTAAAAAAACACTGACCACAGAATTCCACAGTAACCTTGTAAGTTCTGAAAACTTCTTGACCCTCCTTAGACTTTTCCATGCAACTGATTATCTTAATCAAAAGGCATTGTTGATTCCAAAGATACAAGTTACTCTTTCGTGCTGGCCCCAAAAGTCTCACTTGTGTCTTTGTAGAGATGTTCCTAGGTAGTGTGATTTCTCAGGAGAGTGTGCTGTTGCCATAAGCACTGCGGAACTCCTACTTAGAGATCCAAGCTGCCTTCCAGCCTCCTATGAACTCTTCTACTCCTTTTCTGCCAAGCCCCACATCGTATGCCATCGCCTTAGGGGACTGCGCCATATTCCAGAGCTTCCCAGTGACTTTTTGTCCATTCTCCCTCCAATAGTGGTGGTGTGATGATCTACTTTGACAGAATTGAAGTGGTGAACTTCCTGGTCCCGAATGCAGGTACGTCTTACAGTTGATTCTTACCACCAGCTCACTTTCCCCAGCATGCCACTCCTGTGCCTGTCATGGCATCTCAGAAAAGGAAAGGAGCTGTGTCTAAGGGCATTTTGAGTCTTGCCTTTTCTTATGTCAAGCCCTTTCCTTCCCTCCCAGTGTATGATATAGTGAAGAACTATACTGCCGACTATGACAAGGCCCTCATCTTCAACAAGATCCACCACGAACTGAACCAGTTCTGCAGTGTGCATACACTTCAGGAGGTCTACATTGAGCTGTTTGGTAAGAAAGTCCCTCCTGAGCGTGCATGCTTAAGCAGGGTTCCTAGAACCCTGCATCTCTCCACTGTCTAATGCCTGGCTGCCTACAGGGTGTGATGGGCACTTATAGACAGGAAATGTTCAAGAATCTCATGCTCAGGAGCTGGTCACAAAGGAGTTCCTGGAGAATGCTGATGACAGTGCAACAAGATCCTTAGAGGGCTGGAGCTTTGGGCACAGGGACCATCACGGAGTAGAGTATTCACTTCTGGCCTCAATCAGAGGCTAGAGTGGAAATGTGTTCCCACTGTCCCTAAACTATCATTCTATCATGAAGACATGGTTCATTCCAGAAGAATCATAGAGATTGTCCAGCCCAGCATTCTCATTTTAAGATAAGGGTACTGTGATCCAAAGCGAGAAAGTCACAGAGCCAGGTGCCAGTTAGTAGTGGAACTGAAACAGGGGCCTTCCTCTCCTGGCTCTCACTTCAGCATTCTTCTCACCACACCACCCTGAACGGAGGGCCCCCAGGAATGGGTGATGAAAAAGACATGATTCATAGTTAATTCTAGAAGTGAGAATTAATATGAGCTATGAGAACCATAGCTCCTTCCACTTCCTGGAACCTTTGTGATTATTATTTTTTTTACCCTGTACCCATAGCAATGAATAGGAAAACATTTTAACCAAAAAGCCTCCACATGTCTAAGCAGATACGTTTTGTCCTTTTTACCTTTTTCAAAGTAAAGGCAACCTGACTTAGCAGCAAAGGAAGGACACAGTTGAGTAACTGTTATAACTTGTTTGCAGTCAAGTACTCTGTTTAAACTCACTGCCAGAAATTCTCTAATAGCCAATGCCAAAAGCAAATGAATTTTTAACCAATAGTACAACTGTTCTTGACACTAGGACTGGAAAATGATTTTTCCCAGGAATCTTCATAAAAGGGACCCTGAGCGAGAACATTTCTCACAGTAAACAGGAGGACTCATCCACATCACCCACAATAACTAAGCAAACCGCCTTTTGCACCATTTAAGATTTAGGAAATCACCCAAATTACTTTTAATGTTTCTGAGTAGAAAATGAATCTAAATTGATTTTATAGGGTTTGTAGTCTTTTATCTGTTTTAGATTCAGTGTGCTTTTAAGAAAAAATTGGTAAGTTTGCCACTGATTTTTTTTTAACCTTAAACTAATAGAATTTTATAAAACATTAATTCTATCTAGCCATTGTCTTAGGGCTTGTGCCATTAATGAACATTTCGAAGCACTGAAACAAAAGACAAAGGTCCCTAATGTCCTGAAGAGAAAATTAAAATACAAAGTTGTTTTGCATTAGAAAACTTCTGTCTTATACTAACTTGGTAGCTTAGTGAAGTACAGCTGTTTGTATGGAGGAGCTGGGGAAATATATTTGCTTTGAAACTTTTTTATTTTTACATCTCAGTCTTAGCAAGCACTACTTGTCTTAGAATCTGTCATATCCATAAAGGAGGAACTCAGGTCCCTAGTCCTGGCCCTTCAACTCAGAAGGTTCTTCTATACTTTCTTCCTCTCAGGACTCTCATAGCCCAGACTTTAAACATGAAACTGCATAATTTTCATCACATCTTACTTTGCCGAATCCTCTTTGCCCATGTTATTAAAGTATTATCTAATACTTACTCCAAAATTTACCTGAAGAACCTCTTTGTATGTAGTTAGTAATATAACTTTTTTTTCCTATCCCAACACCTTTTAATACAATGGAACGGATATAAACATGGATACAAACACATGGTATAGGTATCACTGAAGTAGAGTGACACAAAATAATATCTATATATACAACACTCCTCTGCAAATAGCAAATGTAAAGTAAAAGATACCCAACAGATCATTTTGTTTTATCTCACTGTCATTTCTTAATCTATAGTCTCCAATGTATCCATGCAAGGAAGCAGTACTAGCTGTATGACTAGAGGGTAGCTCTCTTGGGTTACTTACTGAGACCTTATCTTTGTTCAGATCTGAGCTGTCCTACCCCCTCACTGCAGTCTGGCTTCTCCTTCTCTGAGTATAAAGGCTGACATGGGATGGCTCACCTGTAGCTTCAGTGTTTGAAGTAAAGAAAGCTTTATGCAGATTCTGGCTTTTATTGGGTCTCCTCTGACAGTAGAAAGATTCAAACCACAGTCAATTCCAAGAACCCTTCTAAGAACAGAGACAGAGTCACTCAAACGATCTGATTTGCTATACCTAAATATAATTCATGCTGCTTTTCTCTATGATACACCATAATATTTTGTCCAAAAATCTTGAAACATGTTACTAACTTTGAAGAAAGACTAAAACCAGCCACTTTAGAGACTAGAGACACTCAAGCACTGATCTATTCATAAAGTTTCTACACAGCTGAAGAAGTTTGCACAAATAGACAAAAAATAGTACAGAAAACCTAAATACAGAAAAATTCAGAGAAAAAATCCATCTTTTAGAAAGCAGGTCAAATGGACTCAGTTAAAGACCTCACTGAATGTAGGAGAATCAATGGGAAACAATGTAAAGACTTCTGCTAGAACATTAATAGGAACCAGCCTATGTAATCAAGAAATTATTTTGCCTCCTGATCTAAATGCTTGCCTCCAGTCTAGGGCTCAGCAAAAGGCCTGGTTATTTGAACTGGTTGTCAATCAAGGTCCCCTTCATTTTCGCTTTCTTGGCTTCCAGTCCAGCCAGCTCTTGCAGTCGCATCTTGCTCATGCCTTTGCGCTCCAGCTGTTTTTCAATCACTTTGGCATTCTGCGCATAGGAGTCAGCAACTTCCCTAGCCTCAATCTCCTCTTCCTCTTCATCAATGGTAGACACAGTGACAGAAGTGAACTTGCCCATGTCTTTGGTCCATTTGGTCATCATCACCTTCTTAGGAGGCTCTTGTTTCTGAGTATATATGTTCGTTTTCCCAAAGGCCTGGCCAAACTTGACTACTGCTCCATCCACAATGAAGGTAACAGGAGCGTTATTCGGCTGGGATTGGTAGAAGAGCAGCAGTCCACACTTTGCACATTTCTTTCTGTGCTGTCGTTCAGTGCCTTCAGGTCTCCGCAGATACACAGTCTCCTGGTCTTCTGTGTTACAAAACTTACGGGCATGTTTGGCAGCATCAATCACACGGGACCGGTCCCGGGGCCTCATGGGCAGTTTCTCTAACTGACAGTCCAGCAGTAGGACCATCTGGCCGCACAAACAATAGTACACATGGAGGGGCTTCTCGCCATCATCATATTCCTCCCGGTTCCGAGTGTCAGAGCAGACTACTGACCGAGACACTACTTTCGGCATGGTTCCTAGGAGCCGCCCAAAAAAATTACGCATACAAGAGGGTCGCGCTGAAATGACGTCACGAGCGCGCCAGGCGTCTTTTCCCGGCGGCTACCTTAGTAATGTAACTAAATGGCCCTTATCCACATTTCCGTAACATATAAACATCAGTATTACTAAAACACCTTGCAAAGTATTCCACATTTTCCCAGTAAGCTACTAACCCAGGGCCACAGGTTTCCACCTTGACTGAGATATAATTTGGTCTGTTGAGTGACGTGTTAACTTATGGAGGACACGGGCCACTTTGGTTGATATGCTACTTAAAATATGAAATGTAATGTTTAGTTCTAGTTGTTATATTGGTTGACCCTTAGCAGGTGGAAGGTGCCGACTTTGGTGCTCACAGGCTTGTGACAGCACCTCCTATATGTAGAAACATTACTGTCCCTTGTTTACTGATAGTACTGTCTTAAAATCCTAACAAAGCCCAGCAATTAAACAAGCTTGTTATTTTGGCTACTAGCCAGTTTCCACGGGCCTCCGTTTTGGCATCAGTAAAAGGACAGAGACTTTCTCTTCCTCCGAGGCTCTTGTTTGGGCACGGGTGACCACAAAAGGACCACTTAAAGCAGATAGCAGCTGACAGTGAAGGAGAGATGCAGTGTACAAGTCCCAGTCTGGTTTCACTCGGTCTTTTTCTCTAAGCCCCTCCAGGATCCTACCGAGGATCTCATGGGCAGAGGTAGGAAGAGGATTCTAAAATCTGAGAAGCCCAGGCCAGAGAAGGCAGCTTTCGTGCTGCTGTTCTGAGACTGCAGCTGGAAAGGAAGGGAGAGGGGGTAGTCAGTTACAGCTATTCCTACATTTGTCTGTAAAACAACTCTTGTGAATTCCAGACAAAGAAATAAGGCCCAAAGCAAACAGCACATCAAAAGCCTGGGCTCACTTCCAGAACTGTAAATTTTAATTTTTCCCTTGTGTTGTTTGATGGAGTTCCTAATAGAAACAGTCTTCCTTGGGGCTCTCCTTGACATCAAAGTCTGTTTTTCTTTTAGAAACTTCTAAAATTACTAGATTTAATGTGCTCAGCTCTTTCCACAAAACCTAAATAGCCATTCCACCTTCCTTCGTTGTGGAAACTGTGAATCTTCCTTCTCTTTTGCTGCTGTTGTCTAGGGAAAGGCTGCTGCCTCATGCAAGAAATGTTCTAGAATTGGTATCCTTTCTTTTTTTTTCAAGTTCATCCCTTGTAGGGCATGGTTAGTATTTTCAGCAACAAAGGTTGAGTTGTATCTTGAGGCACAGAAAGAGGATGCCCTGTCATTCGCTGTGTAGAGGGCTGTCTGTGCAGGCTACTCCAGAAGTTGGGCAGGGGGTCTTTAGACTTGTGGGCTTTGATAAGCACCCTCCCTTGGGAAGGTACATTCTTGAGCTGATGATTGAGTTTGTACTTTACCCTCATCATGCCCTCCCTCATTTAGAAAGTGTAACAACTCCTTTTCCTCTGTCTTTACTTTATTCCAGATCAGATTGATGAAAATCTCAAACTGGCTTTGCAACAGGACCTGACCTCCATGGCCCCTGGGCTGGTCATTCAAGTAAGCATTGCTGCATGGGGGCAGCCCCCCTCTCTCTGACACTGCGGTCCTTCTCCCAAGGGATGTTCTTTTTGTGCAGGAAGATCAAGACAGTGGGAGCTGTGTGTGTCCCTCACTACCCTCACTTTCCCATCAGCTGCTGTTTTAATCTCTCTCCAGGCTGTGCGGGTGACAAAGCCCAACATACCTGAGGCAATCCGCAGAAACTACGAGTTGATGTGAGTATACCCTCCGCCTGGACTGTGACCACCACTGCCTCCCACCTCCCACCTCATCCCATCCCAGAGGTAACCGAAGCTGCCTGGCTTCTCGGTTATCCCCTTGCTAGAGGATTTGCCACAGCCCACTGCACTGTAAGATTGGACAGATGTGTCAGGGCCATGACTGGGGCTCCCTACCTGTGATTAAGAACCCCAGGAGAAGCCCTATACAGCAATAATGCTTTGAAAAGGGCCAGGGGGCCTTGTTTGTATTCAGTGACTCATGCCTAAGGGGAAGACAGAAGCAAGAGACCAGTAAGTGGACAGGCAGGTGTATTTTACTAAAGTAAATTACATTTTATTTCCCACAAATGAGTTATTTGGGAGAAGAGCTGTGTTACTGTCGGCAACAGATCAGCTTTTACCTAGGCCATGGAACAGCCTTCCAGGAGGAGTAGGAAATAGGAGTTTGCCTCTCTTCAGTAGAAGAGTTCAGCTTCTTCTGGGGACAATGATGTTCCTGAGTTTCTCATAGCAGCCTCACAGCTTTGTTTCCTCTTCAGGGAAAGTGAGAAGACAAAGCTGCTCATTGCAGCCCAGAAGCAGAAGGTGGTGGAGAAGGAAGCAGAGACAGAGCGGAAGAAGGCACTCATTGGTCTGAATGTGGTTCTGTGATCCCCCTTTCCAGGCAGAAGGGCCGGGGGTGGTGGGAAGATGCAAGGAGGCTGAGGCCTGCTGAGACCCCATGGTCCTCCAAATCACTTCCACAGCACAGGAATGGCAGGTGGACTCCCAGAAGCAAAGTTGAAATTGTCAGATCATGGCCAACGGGAATGAGTTTTGAGATTCCACTTACCTCTTAAATGAAAGGAGCCCTGCCTATTAATTCTTAACTCATAATAATAATGGCTAATACTTAATTGAGCCACATATTTTCCTAAGCACTTAATACGTGGGTTAACTCAACTGTCACAACCACTTTGTGGGGTAGGTACTGTATTATCCTTAATCTTATTTTATCGAACCAAAGGACAGAAGGGTAAAATACTGTGCCCAAGGGCATATGGCAATAAGGGATGGAACTGGGGCTCCAACCAAGGACACTTGCTCTAGAAGCTATGTTCTTAGTCACCGCACCGTATTATCAACAACAAACCTGATCCCTGTGTGCACTGAAGGGCCAGGTAGACCCCTACTAGAGTACTGCATTCTTTAGAATATTCCTTTGGGAGAAGTTCCCTTGTGAAGTTAGGGCTCATTCTTCCTATGTTGGGCCCAGGTCTCCTTGGTTACTGCCTTGTGCTGATGGAAGGGGACTCTGCTCACTGGCACATCCCACTCTGCCCGTGTGTGCCCTCACCGCCATCCTCTGGGGGCTTTTCAGCCGAGCTGACCCACCAGGACACTCAGCTTGGGGGAAAGGTGAAATCAGTCAAACTCTGAAATGCCAGAACTCTAAGTCTTTCCTCACTGTCATTTTTTCAGAGGCAGAAAAAGTGGCACAGGTGGCTGAGATCACCTACGGGCAGAAGGTGATGGAGAAGGAGACTGAGAAGAAGATTTCAGAAATTGAAGGTAAGCAGAAGCAACGCTTATGCCTGCGTTCTGAGACCCCGCCCTGTGGCCCGTGGGTGGGGGAGCTGTTGCCTTTGCCCTTTAACAGTGCTCTAGGATGGCATGATCTCTGTGCAACAGCAGCTTTTCTCCATGCAGAGACTTGAGATTTGAGGCAATTGTGGCCAGATCAGCATCTGTTTTCTACTTCAGAGAGCGTTCGTTCATTCAGCAAATGTGGCTTGAGTGCCAGGATGTGTCCAGCATTTTGTTAGACTTGTGAAAAAGGAAGTCCCGTAGTCCCTGCTGTCTTGAAGTTCCCAGGCTGGCGGGGCCTTGGAGCACTGGGAGCGCACTCTCAGCAGCTGGCTCTCCCCCATGCCTTAGCTACCCCTGCTCCAAAGTCAGTTGGCACCATGGTTTTGGGCTCAAAGTCTGTTCTCCAGGTCTATGTAGATATTAAGCCAGGTTTGAAGAAGACAGATTTTCAGCACCAGTCACACAGGAGCTGGAGAGAAAGGTTTTCTTTGCTGGCTTTTCTGAATATCATTCACCTTCTCTTCCTGCTCCTAAGCCTATACCTCCTTCCCACTGCCCACCTCTTACTTGTTGGGTTGGCTTATGTCAAGCAAATTCCAAGGCAGAACTGGAACCTCAAGGCCCAGCTTCAGGCTACAAAGTGTTATGTCCAATTATACTCATTATGGGACCTGTCAGGCTTTGCAGGGCCCCATAGAGGAGCCAGTTAGGATTTCACAGATCAGTGGCTCCTCATTAGGGAGCTCTTAGCAAAGCAACACATTTTTATTTCTCACAAATACATGTCATCAAGTGCTCAGGCCAGCTGAGGGGGCCCCACAGCAGCCAGAACCCTGGCTGGACTGCAGGCTCCTTCTACGCAGGGTCACACTGGAGACATGCAGTGAGAACCCACCCCCAGACTGACCTTTCTCCCAGACATGCTGCTGCAAATATTACTCACATGAGGCTGGCCTGTTTCTAAGACAAGGGGGTACATATCAAAAATTTTGCATCAGCTTGACAGAAAGCTAGTCTCAGAGCTGATTAGGGAAGAATATGGCTCGTACAGTGGAATTAAATAGGTCTTAATCAAAACATATGTTGGTCTGGCCCATGGCCACATATTCTCTCTCAGGATTGTGCCAGCTTAATCACAGTTCATTAAGACTTTTTTGAAATGATTGATGGAAAGAAAAGGGAAATGAAGTTGGAGACAGACTGAAATATGTTATGTTCATGGCATTCAGTTCTCAGGTGGATCCACCTCTGGCCATACTCAGAGCTGCCTTTGAGCTTTCCTTGCTTTTGCTGTGTAGCACAAGAGGGAGGAGTGGAAGGCTCTGGCCTCGAGCTTGAGGCAGGATTCCACTGCTTTGCTTCACAGACGTGGATCTCCAAAAGAAGGAAACAGGTGGAGACAGGAAGTGCTTCTGGCTAGCATTGCTTTTTTCCATAGTACTGTCAATGTGTATGTTTGGGCCACAGACACAGACTTGCTGTCCCTGTCATCAGGAGATGCTTTCAAAGCACTTTTTCATCTTGGTTGATCCTTATAACAACTTGTACAATAGGGGAAAACATTTAAAGCACAGAGGAAAAAGCGATCTCCCCAAGGTCACAGCGGCAATCAGGAGCGAAGTTCTAAGGACCAGAACAGAGTCTTCCCATAGCTTCTGCACTTCCTACAAAGAACTCCGTTTTAGCCCTTCACCAAGTTCACTGCACTCCTTCCCCTTCAGACGCTGCATTTCTGGCCCGGGAGAAGGCAAAGGCGGATGCTGAGTGCTATACTGCTATGAAAATAGCCGAAGCCAATAAGGTAAACACCCTGCACAGCCGATAGAGAGGTGTCTTTGGGTCCAGGTCTGTACTGCTGGAGAGTTTCCAGCGTTGAATGCCCACCACCACCCAGCGGCCTTCACGGCCTGAACTGAAGACGCCTGTGCTGTGTGCAGGTACTTCCCTTCTCCTTGGATGTGCCTTGTTAGAAGTTTAGTTTTGTGTTAAACATGAAAACTTTTAACTTTTGCAACTCTGCTCGCAGATCTCAGATGACTGTCTCTTACAGAAATGTAACAGTGAGACCACAAAAAGTAGGTAGGGGCATAAATATTTGACAGAGAACCTCGTCATAGGAACACTGAAGGGGCATCACCCCCCGTTTTCTCTAGTACGCTTCCACCTAAGTCTTCCATCCTTTTCTTTTAACAGCTGAAGCTGACCCCTGAGTATCTGCAGCTGATGAAGTACAAGGCCATTGCTTCTAACAGCAAGATTTACTTTGGCAAAGACATTCCTGACATGTTCATGGACTCCGTGGGCAGTGCGAACAAGCAGTCTGAGGGGCTGGCTGACAAGCTAACCTTCGGCTTAGAAGATGAACCTTTGGAGACAGCTACTAAGGAGAATTAAAAAAAACTTTATACGACTGCAAATGATACTTAGGCAGATCTTTATTTTTTAAGATGAATCAGAATGTTCCTGCCTCCCCCACTACCTTCTTTGACTGTCTTCAAGTTACTGTGGTGAAAAAGAAGAACTGAACTTAAATCTACTCCCCTTCCAGGGAGGGGAGGGTGGGGACTGAAGATAGGGGCTTTTATTTCAGGTAAGCAGTTTATATGACTTCCAATAAGATTTGTAAACCATGGGCTTGACCTTTGACCTCAAGACACTAATCCTTTGAGGCTGGCTTAATTAGGGATGCTATCATTAAGGGAGGGGAGAAATGTACAGTGTTGCCTCCAACTGATTTGATTTCCCTTATTTGGGAAAATGTAGTCCAGTATTCTCACCTCTGCCTCTGAGGTGGGGGATGTCTGTGAGTGAGGCTCAGCAACTGAGCAAATATGTGCTTGTGAGTTTGCCAGCAGAGCTGTGGAGAAACAGCTGCAGAGAACGTTCGACCCTCCTGGCATTTTTGTCCACATGTATATGAGTTATTTTAGAGGCATGCTTTCCTGAGCCCTCATAAAGAAGTACTGGTGCTAGGTTTTGCAAAATTTTACATACAATTTGCTCCTTGCCCTAGGGCCCAGAGTGGTGGTTTCTGACTGTATTTCTAGAGTTAGAGCTTGATCACCACCACTCAGTTATTTCTGCAACTTTTCACCTATCCTGTGATTTTTTTTTCTTCTCAAATAATCTGTTCATTGGTTCCACTCAGCATCAAGAAGACAGGGACAAACAACTCAAGTGTCTTAATAGCTGCTGGAGTAGGATCCTTGTTATCTCTTAGCCACTGCAGGACCTGCCTGACAGATTATGCATGCACCTCGAGATGAAGTGTCTTTCTATTGTAGAAGCTCTACAGTGAAGAGGTCTGACCCTGTGTGCGGCAACAGGAATGATCAGTCAAGAGATGTCCTAGTCTTAATGCCTGTGCCTTGTGCTGGGAGTGGGTCTGGCTTGGTGATAAAAGGACTCTATTCACTAAGTGGCCTGTGTTTTTGACAGGTCAGACAACATTCAGTCTCCAGAGACAGCTGTGTGGAGCAAGTCAGAGTTCATGCCCAAGTCCCTGGGTTGGAATGGCTGCGCCAAAAATCTATTCAAAGGGTTTTCTTTTTCATTACTAGCTCAGAAAATTTTGAGTCACCCTGGGAGATTCAGGATGGGGAGAGCAAACTTGAGCAAAAAGTTTTCTTATATCCTGAGATTGGGGTGATGGGGAGCATCTGACCTGTGTAGCCTATGGGTTTTGTCTAGAATCAAGTGGAGGGCAGCTATCTGTAGTTAACTTGCAAGCATATCGGTGCCCTCCATGACCAGCTCTGGCTTAGGACTTGGCCCTGTTATGAGCTAACTCCTGTACAACTCCTACTGTACCCCTCTTTCCTAGGTGAATCTGTGAATGGTCCCTTCTGGCAGCAATCCCTGCCTTATTTTTGGGCCCATGCCCAGATTTCTGGTTTAAGGAATTTCTGGTCCCAGAACTTGGGCCAGCTTGCTCAGGAGTTTTGGGAGCCTTGAGCCTGCCTAGAAAGATACAATGTTAGCTCCCCTTACTTCAAAGTTGCCCTTCTCTGTTAAATTCCTGGGACTTCCAGTCCTGGACACAATTTTTGCAGGCAACAAAATGTTCCTGGGAATGATGGATTTTAACATGCTCCAGAGTCCTTTCAGAAGGGGTCATTTCCCTTGGCCGGGCACAGTGGCTCATGCCTGTAATCCCAGCACTTTAGGAGGCCAAGGCAGGCAGATCACCTGAGGTTAGGAGTTCGAATCCACCCTGGCCAACACGGTGAAACCCCATTTCTACTAAAACTAGAAATATTAGCTGGGCATGGTGGCAGGCACCTGTAATCCCAGCTACTTGGGAGACTGAGGCAAGAGAATCGCTTGAACTCAGGTGGCAGAGGTTGCAGTGAGCCGAGATCGTGCCACTGCACTCCAGCCTGGGTGACAGAGCAAGACTCCATCTCAACAAAAGGAAAAAGAAGAAGGTGGTGATTACCCAAGACCAGCACAGGGGGTATCTATTTAAAATACACTCATCTTCCTCCCATTTCTATGCTATTAATCACTTGTTAGGGCAACATGACATGCCAAGCATCCCCACTTCCCATGTATGTGTGTACCTTCCACTCTGAGCTTTTGCTGCCTAGGCCTCAGAAAACACCAGTTCACCACAATAGAACCAGGAGCAGGGATAGCTCAGCTTTTCTGAATACCATGCTTTGCTCAAGTCTGAACTTGAGGGCCTCTGCAGTACTAACATCCTGTGATAGCGTGTCCCATAACCACGAAAGAGCCTCAGGAGAGTCAAGTCCAGCTGCAGCTGCCCTGCCCCAAGTTACTGTCATTTCCTCTGTAAACAAAAAATATGTTGCCGTACCCATTAGTGTCAATCCAGTGGTTGTCTCTATCTGTCTAAATAGCAAAATCATAGAAATCAGCTGTTTTCTTTGCATAGGACAGCTAACCCATCTGTCTGTATGATTTTAACACTCACTAGAAAATCTAATCTTAAAACATTTGAATTCTAAACATGTAAAATGTGAGAACCTGCAATTTTGTAGACAGTGAAGTAATGGCTGCTATTTATAAATGGAATGTCTATCAAAATTACTGTTTATAAAATTCAGTTTTTGTAGGATTATCCAAGGAAAAATCACCTTGATTGAATGTTTCTCACTCATTAAACTTTGAAGAAGTAATTCATATCCAGTACTGTTTTTAATCACTTTTTAAAATATTAGGACCGAATGTTTGCAAGGAAACCAAAGTTTATTAATAATTTTTATATAACTAAAATAGATATGGAGGGATCTATGATTATATAAAAAGGGAGGGTTACTGAAGGAATTTTAGCAATATATTGATCCAAGAAAAGGAGCTGTTTTATAAATGATCATTCACTGTTCCTCTGGTTCTATGTATCTTTCAAAACATACCTTTACTGTTTAAAGAGAGTAAATAGAGAAAGTAAGATGGTCATACTTACTGACTTTATCTATTTAAGTTTGATGGAGATAAACTATATCTTGGCTAGTGGCTACTGTGTCTGTGAATTTAACAACTACTTCTTTAAGTCCTATTCAGTAGGGTTCTAGCCACTGCTTTTTTGTCATTTCTAGCCTCTGTTTTTTTCTTGTTTCCTTATAAAAGGGGTAATGACCAATTATTTTGTGTTTGCATTTCCATTCCTTTTTATTTCGCTTTTGTGTAGACTAATGATTGAATAGTCAAACTACTACTTTCAAAGAGCCCCAAGAACTTAATGACCCCATTTGTAACTGAGAAATGCCTCTTGTTTTAGTAATCATTCTATAAATGATACTGCTGGATTGATTGCCTTGGGTAGATAGCTGGAGGAATTGTTTTGGATAACACTAACAGGCCCATGTGAATTTATGTCTTAGTTTTATTTGCAATCTTGCTAAGTAAAATGAGTCTTTGTGTCTACTTTTTTATTAAAGTGAAGTACAGCAATAGCTAATATTAGGATAGGTGACATAAAGAAATAAAACATCCCTGACTAGTGAGTTAAGTACAAGATCTCTCTAAAAATGTATTCAGATGAAAATCTATCCTCATTATCCATATAGAAACAATAAAAAATGAATTTGTGAACACGGCATAATTCTTGTTAGGTACTAAAGAGATTTATCATTTTAAACAATTTACACACCACTGCAATTCTGCTTCAAAGGGCAGAGATACTTTCAATTGGCCCAAAACTCATTCTAATATCAGTTCAGTGGAAAGAAATCTCAGTCTTTACTCTGGAAAGCTGCCCAGCTTAGGGTTGCCAGATAAAACAGAGGATACTTAGTTAAATATGAATTTCAACAATGTATAATTGTTAGTATAAGTATTATATGGCCCAAATACTGCATGAGACATACTCATACTAAAGTATTTGTTTATGTGAAATTCATATTTAACTGGGTATCCTGTGTTTTTACTTGGTAAGTCTGGCAACCCTAGCCCAGGCTTTCTCTGGTTTTTCAACGGGGCTCCCGAACTTTCTCTATTGGTTTAAGAGCCTGCTACACAAATAACAGGATCTTAACAACTGAGTAGGTATGTTAAGAATGTAGTTACTGGAGTCAGACTGCAAAAGTTCAAATCAGTGCTCTACTACTTAGGTGTGTGGTCTTGGATAAGTTTTTTGACCTCTCTAAGCCTGTTTCTTCATTTATAAAATGGGTTGAGTGGTTTATGAAATAATGCATATGAAGGGCTTTCACACTGTACTTGCATGTATGTATTCAAAAACAACTTATTTTCAATCTGGAGAAATGGGCTAGAAAACGCACAGCTGTTAAATGGGAACCGCTAAGTGGAAAGCCAAACACATGTGAAAAAAATAGAATCAGATTACAAATAGGACAACACATAGAAGGGAATGATGTTGCAATGCGGCAAACACAGTATTTAGGATACATACCTCTACAAAAATGCAGTGTAGAAAGTAACCTGGTTTAAAGAAAGAAAAGAACTTGGTTTGGCCCTGTTGAGAGGAATTGTCCAGTTCTGGGCTCCAGTTTTAAAAAGGAAAAAATTTGAAGAGGCTAGAAAGAAAACAAAATGTTAAAACCAAAAAGGAAAATGTATATAAGAAATAAAGGGATCTGATTGATCCCAGAAAAGGCAGAAGAGAAATTTAATGACTTCACAATTTTAAAAGTTACATAATGGTAGCTAAAAGAAGGAAATTCGCTTGACTAAAGGAGTATTTTTAAATAATTAAAATCAGGCTTGCTTAAGTTTCAAATAGGGAGCAGTTGTTACCTGCAAATAGAAAATAAATTTTCTTCTCCGATGGTCTGCAGAAATTGGGAAGACTCTGTGCTGTTTGGGATAGTTTCAATGTCATTCTTTGTGTGAAACCTCCCTAGGTTTTCCCTAGGGCTAGGCTTCTAGAGTCTATATAGACATTTCAAAGGCCAGATGTGACAGCATGTTTGCCAAGGGCTTGCTGCCATGGGCTACTCTACCTGAATTCATGTAAACTGGGACATGGCCATTATTTCTCCATTTCTCTTTAGAGCTAAGTAAACAGGCAAAGTAATTTTCTATTTTATTTTTTTATCCCCCCAAAAGAATCATAGTAGGCTCAGAAGGAAACACTTTAAATCCATATATGTTTTTATCATAATTTGGTTTTATTCCAGACTATGAGAGTGTTTTAAAAACTTGATAGCATAAGCATACTAGATTTTAGATTGTTTATAAAATCTGTTTCTCTGGGCAGTTGGCTTTTTCATCTTTCTCTTTTCCCCTTTGTCTTTGCAAATTATTGGAGCAATTTAAAGACAATTACTGGTGATGAAATGATTTTGGACTTGCATTTTTCAAGGATTAGGTAGTAGGAGAGGATGAAAGGTTAAATTGGATGGTTGCTGTCCCAGGAAGAGGAGGAAGAAACTAAAAAAGAAAATAAGGGAACAAGTGAAATAAACGTAATTCAAAAGTACAACTAAGAAGAATTTGGAATGTGAGATGACCATGGGACTGGGGGCACCATGATCTTTTTGTCACCATTTCCATTTTCATAAGATCACAGAATGTCAGAGATGAACAGTATCTTAGAACTAAATCTTAGAAATAAATCCGCAATAAAGCCTGTCTTACTCAGCCTGGTCTCTCCCAGGGTTCCTTTACAGAGTAATGCCTCAATAAATGTTCACTGAATGGATAAGGGGGTGGAAGGATGACCTTGCCTTGTAATTCAAATAACAGAGGCCCAATCTAGTAAATAAAGCTATAACTACTTGTTGTCATAGTAACCTAACACCTGGGTTATACATTCCCTAGATCTGTGAGGTATTTACGGTTTTAAAAATGTTTTCCAAATAGCGCATCATTTGAACTATTTCATCTCACCCAATCCTTCCTCTACACATCCTGTCACCGTGATCCCCTCTGTCCTTCCCGTCACTCACTGCTTGCTCGCTCCTTCCTACCTGTGTCTCTAGAGCAAGCATTTATGATGCTCACACCACAAAGGGACATTCTGGTCATTTTAAATTTTTTATCACTTTGGTTGGAGTAGAAATGTGTCAAATCCAGAGACATTTTATTTGAACACCAGTTACTCCTAATGTCGGCAGGTCTAGTTTGCAAATAACCCATTAATGTGTACTAGCGTAAATGACCAGAGACTTCCCAAAAAGAAGTCCCTTATTTTAAGAACCTAAGGTTCTGCCTAACGTGATTTTCCTAGAGCAGATGTGAAATTCCGTCTCCGTTCCTGGGAGTCGGGGAAAAATTGTGAGGAGAGAGTAAGAATATTGCTCCTTCCAGAAAGTTCTAATAAGCCCTATCACCTCAAGACAACCTGGAGAACAAATATTAGCTGTTTCTCTAATATAATAGCATCGCGTTTCATTAATGTTTGAGAATCAACAGTAATTGCAGCCAAGAATGCTTACCTTAACAAAATTGATCTCCTTCTCCTTGCCCATAGTATCTACTATTTCAACCCCCATTTAGCATTCTGCGTTAATCTTTGTATGGTCTGGCTCCTCCGGAGGGAGACTCAAGAATCAAACTCCGGGCGTTGTGGCACACGTCCGTAGTCCCAGCTACTCTGGAGGTGGAGGTGGAAGGATTGCTTTGGCCCAGGAGTCCAGGACTAGTCTGGGCACATAGTGAGAACCCATCTTAGAAAAAGAATCCAACTGAATGTGCTGAGCTCCTACTAGAGCATCTAAAGCTGCCTGTGGGCCAGGCGCCGTGGCTCACACCTGTAGTCCCAGGTACTCAGGGGGCTGAAGCAGGAGAATCGCTTGAACCCAGGAGGTAGAGGTTGCAGTAAGCCGAGATCGGGCCACTGCACTCCAGCCTGGGTGACAGCAGGAGACTCTGTCTCAATAATAATAATATCAATAATCACGCTATATAATAATTATCGTAATAATAGTATATAATGTATCCTATATTAATAATTATGCTATGTAATAATCAGAGTCATAATAACAGTAATAATCATGCTGCCTGTGCCCCGATGAGGCAGCACTGGCCGCAGGTGGCCGCTAACCCCTTGAAATACAGACGGCCGGAATTGCCACACATGCAAGTCAACACTACACTGGGTTTCAGAAACACGTACGATTTTCAAAAGTATTAAAACATCGCATTTAGTTTTTCTATTGATTGCACGTCGAAATCTTACTTTGGATATATTGGCTTAAATAAAGTATATCATTAAAATGTTTAAACTTATGGGCCTATGAGAAACTTACAAAATTACACAGGAGGTCGCGCTATATTTCTCTTGGACAGCACTGATCTGAAGGATGACAAAAATTAAGAAACGTTTGAATCACGCCGTGTCTTTAGGGAAAAGAACAGTTTCCTTTCATATTGCTTACGGGCTCCTCGCAAGAACCATCTGAAAGAGAAAAGCCCTGGCTCCCGCCCCAGTCACTTCTAATCCTGGTTCCCCGCGCCCAGAAAGCCAGGAACGGGCAAGCCTGGTAAGGCATTGAAAGGGAACAGGACCCCCCGAGTACAGGATGCGTTTTTGCCCCCACAAAAGTCCCTTGTGGGTGGGGGACGGCAGCTGCTGAGGCTCAGGAAAGAGGAGAGCACACGGAATGCGGCCCTCAGAGGCAGGCACGCAGGACGTCGGCTCCCAGGCTCCTCCTTTCCAGATTCGCGAGTGACCTCCCCAAGATGGCCGTCGCCGGGGCGGGGAAGGGGGGGGGTTCTCCGCGCTACACGAGTGTTGATTGGGTGAGACGACTCGATACTGAGCAATGATTGGTTAACACACGGCGTGAGCTGGGCGGAACTGGAAGAGGGTAGAACCTGGGGCTGCCGTGGACTTGGGGCTAGGCGTCGGTCCCCGGGGGATGTGGAGAGTTGGCAGCATGTCGGCAGAGCTGGGAGTCGGGTGCGCACTGCGGTCGGTGAACGAGCGCGTGCAGCAGGCGGTGGCGCGGCGGCCGCGGGTGAGGAAGGAGGCTGCGTGGGGACAGTGGGAGGACGCCCTGAGGAAAGGGACACCTGCGTGGGAATGGGTCGTCACGGTGACGCAGAGGGGTCTCCCGAAGAGGCGGGACCCGTCGGCCGCCGAGGGCCACCAAAAAGCTAGCGAAGGGTTTCCCCAGCGTCCTTGCCCTGAGTCTGGTAGGTTTCTGGAGATTGGCTTCGTTGGAGGAGAGGGTACTGCTACCTCAGGAAAAAGACTTAGTGTCCAGGCATCGTGGCCACTTGTAAACCGCGTCGAAACGCGTCGTTTCGGGGTCGACAGCCTTGGCGGACGTGAGGGGGGCCAGGCCTGTGCCCACGGACAGTAAGGGCGTCGGGGGTACAAGAGCACCCCGCGGAGGCCAGATCCTCCCGAGATCGCGAGTGTGGCAGCGTCTCAGCTGCTAAGTGCCCGGGAAATGCCAGTGCCACCCGCAGGCTGAGATGAGGGTGGACTGGCCGGACTTCACTGGCACCGCAGCGGCACTTGTTTGTGGGAGCAGGAGGGAGCAGTCCAATCCCATGCCGGTTAAGGGGAGATTTCGTCTTTTCTGTATGTATTTTTTTACCTCCTCTTGGACTTTGATTAGACCAAGAATCAAAATCTGCCCACCTCAGTGCAAGTTTAAGCTGAATGGTGTGGAATGAGATGGACCTGAACATGGATGTCATGGGTTTCTCTGATCGAGCATTTATGCTGGCTGAAGACAAGACCTGTATTATGGTCTTTCCTTGACTGATTATTTCTTAGACATTACCTTGAACAAGTCAGGTAACTACTGTGGCCCTCAGTATTTCCCTCCCTGTAAAAGCAATGCAGTAATGTCTGAAAGCTCTGAGCTCCTTTCTGATGTTAATATTCTGTGATTCTTGGTCATTCTCCAAGAAAAATGTAGGACTTCCCCTAACAAACATCACCCTGGAGGTTCTCTCGGAAACACTCAGGCACATGGGCTGCCTGTTCGGGTGAGTCTGAAAAACATCAATTATCAGCATAATCCCAGTAGTCACGAGTCGGCCTCAAAAGAGGCTGGTTATGCATCCCTGTGGAAGGAAGGAAGAGGAGGCATTTTTCTAATTGTCAGTCAATTAGAAAATGTCCTTGAGAACACTGTGATTCTGTGAAAACTCCAGGGGGTGATAGATACAGGAAGACTGAATCATGCAAGGATAAATGAATCTCTTCTCTTACTGTTTCTGTGTGGATTGAGTCAGCAGAATGCATAGAACCCCTGCTCTTTGTGTAGTGGTCATGCAAGGATGTCAGATAAGTCTAATCCTCAGTCCAGAATTTTGTGTTGCAGTCTTAGTTCTGCCATTAGTTCTTTTCTTTTCTTTTCTTTTCTTTTTTTGAGATGGAGTCTCACTCTGTCACCCAGGCTGGAGTGCAATGATGTGATCTCAGCTCACTACAACCTCTACCTCCCAGGTTCAAGTGATTCTCCTGCCTCAGCCTCCCGAGTAGCTCGGATTGCAGATGCCCACCACGAAGCCTGGCTAATTTTTTGTATTTTTAGTAGAGACAGGGATTTCACCATGTTGGCCAGGCTGGTCTCAAACTCCTAACCTCAGGTGATCCACCCACCTCGGCCTCCCAAAGTGCTGAGATTACAGGGGTGAGCCACTGTACCTGGCCGTGCCACTGGTTCTTAATTCACAGATTGAACAATCAATTACTTAGTTACCTAAGCGGGCCATTTGTAGGGTAAATGGGGCAGTGTTATTATGGTGTAATGATACACTAGGACCAGGATGAGTTACCAAAACTGCTAACATTAGGGTTTTGGAAGCCAGAAGTGACCTCTCTTTTGCTCAAAGAGTACAGCCTTCTATTAATGAAGTGATTCTTAAGCCTCCAACATTGGTATATCTGAGTCATTTGGAGAGATTGTTGAAAAGTAAATTATTGGCTGGACACGGTGGCTCCCACCTATAATCCCAGCACTTTGGGAGCCCAAGACTGGCAGATCACGAGGTCAGGAGTTCAAGATCAGCCTGACCAACATGGAGAAACCCCGTCTCTACTAAAAATACAAAATTAGCTGGGCAAGGTGGCACATGCCTATAATCCCAGCTACTTGGAGGGCTGAGGCAGGAGAATCACTTGAACCTGGGAGGCAGAGGTTGCAGTGAGCCAAGATCACACCGTTGCACTCCAGCCTGGGCAACAAGAGTAAAACTCCATCTCAAAAAAAAAAAAAAATTCTCACCCAGGTGATGCTGATACAGTTGGTCCAAGACCACACAAGGAAATGCTGCTTTAACTGGCCCCCAGCTCTCCTGAGAGAGAAATTTCTTCTGCTAAATACTGACATCGCTAACATATTAGACTGAGATGCCATGTACCCAAAAAACATTTGGTCACCACTATTTGATATTGATCTGCCTACAGTGTTGAAAAAATGGATCTTAGCTAATGCCAATTTGAGATCAATGCCTGTCTATACAGGATCTATTATATGGGATTCGTTGGGATAATATTCCCAAACATTCACTCATATGTTTCTTTCCCTCTCGGCAGGATCTCCCAGCCATCCAGCCCCGGTTAGTGGCTGTCAGCAAAACCAAACCTGTAGACATGGTGATCGAGGCCTATGGTCATGGGCAGCGCACTTTCGGCGAGAACTATGTAAGAGCCCTTTCCTGAAGTGCCTTTGGAAGCATCGTGATTGCCAGGCTTCTGACTTGTTCTGTTTTTACCTTTTAGGTTCAGGAACTGCTAGAAAAAGCATCAAATCCTAAAGTAAGTAGATAGTTGAATTCTTTAATGTATATCTAAATCGTGGCTCTTTAGTTGAAAATTAGACCCATCTTGGTGGCTGAGCTGTAGAGCAGCTTTAGGATGGTTGACTTTAGATTGGGCTGGGGGCAGAAATGTCAGCTTTCACCTTGAGTCCCAAATAATTATCAGCTAGATTTTTCTCTTTGTTCAGACTATCGTTTTCTCCTTGGTGGCTGTTTGGAAATGGTGGTTTCCGGATCTTGCTGTAATTTTGGATCTTTTCAAGATCTGAAAGCTTATCAGTTCATCTCTGACAGCCGGTGTCTGAAAAATGGAGGAAATTGATGGGAACAAGGAAGGGAAACAGAACAAAAGCTTTATTTTAGACTTTTCTCTATCCTTTTACCTCATTAGGAGGCCGGTTGAAGATTGTGATAGTTTATTACATTTAAGGATCAGAGAGTGAATGTGAAAGGTGACAGGGAATGCGCAAGGTGTTGGAGGCAGCAAGGCATCTGTAAAAATCTAAGTTACACATGGTTACCTTTTCTCTTCAGATTCTGTCTTTGTGTCCTGAGATCAAGTGGCACTTCATTGGCCACCTACAGAAACAAAATGTCAACAAATTGATGGGTAAGATAAAACACTAAATATGAAGACAAAATTGCTCTGTTATTGTATTGCTTGTACTACCGTCTCTGGAAGAGAGAGCAACTTTTAGACTATCCCTACTTCACCATTTGTTTTTGGAATTTCTTTCAGAAAGCCTGAGTTCTTAATACAAGGAGAAAACATCATGCCAAGAACAGAATATATTCACAGTTGTCTGGCTTATACTTGGAAACCTGCCCTACCTCATGTTTATTATTATTTGGTTGTCTTTCAGAAAAATTATAAAGAATTGCAGTCCATAAATTTTTTTAACCAGCAAAAGAGATGTTTCTGTTCTTTTTCCTTTAAATAAAAGGCTGCAGTAAATAAAATACAGTACAGCAAAGTAACTACAGTAAAGTAAAATTAAGAATTGTAGTAACATAGGCCAGGCACGGTGGCTCATGCCTATAATCCAGCACCTTGGGAGGTGAGGCAGATGGATCACTTGAGGTCAGGAGTTCGAGACCAGCCTGACCAACATGGTGAAATCTCAACTCTATTAAAAATGCAAAAATTAACCTGATGTGGTGGTGCATGCCTGTAGTCCCAGCTACTTAGGAGGCTGAGGCAGGAGACTGGCTTGAACTCCAGAGGTGGAGGTTGCAGTGAGCCAAGTTCACGCCACTGCACTCCAGACTAGGTGACAGAGCAAGAATCCATCTCAAAAAAAAAAAAAAAGATTTATAGTAAAATAAAATTAGGAAAGACATGGAGGCTGGGCCCAGTGGCGCATTCCTGTAATCCCAGCACTTTCAGAGGCCAAGGTGGGAGGATCACCTGAGGTCAGGAGTTTGAGACCAGCCTGGCCAACATGGCAAAACACATCTCTACTAAAAATATACAAAAATTAGCCAGGCATGGTGGTATGCATGTGTAATCCCAGCTACG